GGAGGAAGAGGGGGGGATGCCCCACAGTGAGTGCCTGCTGTGTTGCTGAACAGGCCATGGCTCCTGCCCGGCTCCCTTCGGCACCATCCAGAGTGGACTCTGTTATGGTTTAGACATGAGGTGTCCCCCCCAAACTCAGGTGTGAAACGATTAGAAAATGAGGGTCGTAACCTCATCAGTGGATGAATCCCTAGATAGGGATGAGCTGGGGGGAAACTGAAGGCTGGTGGGGTGTGGCTGGAGGAGGGGGTCATCGGGCTGTGACTCCGGGGTCCCTGGAGTGCGCCTTTGGGGCGTATATATTTTGCCCTGGGTGAACAGAGCTCTGCTCGTTGGTGCCAGGTCCTGAGCACTTCCCTCCTCCACACCCTTGCACCTTGATGTTTGGCCTCACCTCGAACCCAGAGCCAGAGTCAACTGACTATGAACCGAGACCCTCAAACTCTGAGTTCCAAATAAACCTTTCCTCCTCTAATTGTTCTTGTCAGTTCTTTTGGTCTCAACTGCAAAAAAAGCTAAAACGGGCTCCCCTCAGGCTCCGCAGCACCTCAGCGGCTCCCGGGGCGTCACTGGTGGGATGGCCTAGATCCTCTTTCCGGAGGTGAGCCCCTGGTCTCCAAGCCCTTCTCAGGCTGGGGCTGCGACATCTGTTCATCACCAGGGACAAAAAGCAAGGGTGTCCCCAGAGGCACCCCCAGGGGGCACCTGGGTCCATACCTACCCTCTCTTCCCCGTGGGTAAGAGCAGCCCAGCCTCCTTCCCAAGGTCAGGGCCAATCTCCTCCCTCAGGGTGACTCTTAGGGCTTCCTGGTCACTTTGAAGTGCCCGGATGGAAACTGCAACGTGTCCCTGGGTTGAAATCGCCCTGTGAGCGGGTGTGTTTGTGGGAAGCACAAACACTTAGGGGTCACTGGATTAGTCAGCCAGCACCCCTCGGCTCCCAGACTCACGGGTTCCTTCCACTAGGGACACAGCACCATGGAAGGGTCTCCTGCATCCCAGAGGATGGCAACCCATTCCTGTAAATCAGTACCCCTGAGCCGGGCCTTCCCACAGGCCACACCAACTTCCCAGGATACCAGCAGCCTGAGTGGCTTGGTGTGTAACACGGGTCCCTGGTGAAAGACCACTCTTCCACCTCTGTAGACACCCGGTCATCTGCGATGACGGGCGACATCCAATGTTGATGAGGCAAACACTCCGTGAGGCTTCCCGCGGTGCTTTTGAAGGAGGCCCTGTGACCAGGAAGGTTCGACGTGCACTCACTGAACAATCCTATCAGAACAAACCACTGCCCTGCAGGGGGAAAGGAATCTAGCGTGGTCAACTTGCTTCCCAGCCCAGAACTTGGACATTTATTTGGTGGGAGCAGTAGACCAGACTGGCTGACCTCCTCTGGCTAAGTCATCTGATCCACTGGGTCATGAGGTGCTTCTTCATGGTGGGTACTCTCCAGGAAGCAGCGACCTGTGCTGTGGCTATCCTCAGTCTCTGTCCATGGCTCTCCAACACCCACCCCCGCACCAAGCTGCCCAGCCCTGATTCCCCAGGTCTGTCCTCCATGCTCATGCAGCCAGACAGACCTGGGCCCTGTGTGCATTCCAACTTGGCCCTCTCTTCTTCCCCGAGTAGATGACCAGGAGCTGTGCCCCAAATTCTGCTTCCTGGAGGGCTTCTTCCTCACTCATCTTTCCAGACCACCCCTGACTAATGCAGCTGCCATCCATTCCTCACGACCTAAGCCTGGGCCTCTTCCCCACTTCTTTGGTCTTACCAAATCCCCCTTGGCTGTGTGTGACCTGATACGATGCCCTGGCCCCAGAGTGGCTGAGCGGGAAGCTGGGCTGTGTTGGTATCTGTGGAGCCCTCTGGTCTTGCTTGTGAGTTTCAGGATGAGCTACCCCATCTTTAGGTGGACCCCGCCTGGCCGGCCCCGTCTTAGGTTGGTGGGTCTGGCAGAACCTAGTCCATCCTGGGCAGTGTGACACACAGCCACTGGATGCCCGAGGTCAAGGGTTCTGCCTCTCCCGGGCCCAGCGGCCTGCAGCAGTGAGTCTCCCGTGATGCTCTGCTGTACACCCCGCGGGCCCTTCCCCACGCCCTGCTGCTGGGATTGCTCCCACAAGGCGCCATGGACTGAGGGGCTTCCCTCTCCTCACAGCCCTGGGAGTGAGAAGTCTGAGAGCCAAGTGCCCTCAGTGTCGGTCCCTCCTGAGGCCACTCTCCTTGGCTCCAGATGGCGGTCCTCTGTGTCTTCACATGGTTCTCCCTGTTCCCTAATTTCTTCCAGTCACACAGGTGAGGCCCCCCCCCCCACGGCCTCCTCTGTACTCTGCAACGTCAATCGCACTCACACTCTGAGAACTGAGGAGTGGGCTCCTGGGATGAGCAGGGGTGCAATTTGGGCTGTAAAGCCTACCACTGATCCCCCTAATGCCATACTCTTCCAAGTTTTATGGCTCAAGGGTCAGGGTTCCACGCCCCACAGATTGGCCTGGTACAGAGTGTTCGGCTCTGGGCCCTCCCCAGAACACCAGCTTTTTGTTTCCCCTGGTCCACAGCTCAGAGCCGTGTTTCCAGATATTTAAATCAGCTGCCTCCAAACCTAAAGAGGGTTATGAGACATTTTGCTTCTTTCTTCGTGGTAGGAGGTGCAAGTTGCACTCATTTTTCCTCAACGGGTTTCACACCTAAGGAAGGAGGTGAGAGTGGGCAAAGTGGGATGGCCAGCAGTCTGCAGGTCTCAACTGGACCCACAGATGGCTCAGGGGGAAACTGGGTCTTCAGAGTTGCCCCACACTGGTGGAATGGCCAGGCTTTTATGTCGCTGAGATCAGTTCTAAATGAGAGCTTTCCCAGAGCAAGGCTGCCCTGGGGTCACTCTGAAGAGGCTGATGGCCGAAAGCCATCTGCCAACAGAACTCTTAACCATGGGACAAGCAGTTCCTTAACAGTAGAGATCTGGTCCAAGGATCACCAAAGATAAATATGACATATTAATAAAAATAAATCTCTGCCACTGAGAACACTGTAATCTGGGGGATGCTTTTTATCACAGCATCACATAACTCATCCTGACTAATACACCTGACTTCATGCATGGAGAAGGAAAGGTGCTCAAGGCTCAGGAACCTGCAGAGGAACCTGTCCAGGACACAAGCCGTGTCAGTTGTGAACACTTTGAATCAACAGTCATGCTGAACACACACAGGTAGGTGAGTGAGGCAGACCACTGGTCTCATACCTCCATTCCAGACCTTCGGGTAGTCTTGACCAAGTTCACTGGCTCAGGCCCCAGCCTGCTGATGTGGTCTCTAGACTGGAGGGAGGCCCAGCAGAGGGCACTGGGGTGTGCCTGGGCTTGGGCGGCTCGATGGGCGGAAAGTGAATTGCAAAATGATTTGCTTTTCCAGCCACACTAACCATCTGAAGTGCTCATCAGCCACCCGTCGCTAGTGGTGACCGTATCAGACAGCACAAAGACAGGACATCTCCCTCCTCACAGGAAGCTTTAGAGGACACAACCGAAGGATTCGAATCAGTCACTGTGAGAAATCCGGAACAACTGCCTGAGATCTTACAGCTCATGTATAAGAGAATTTAACACGGCTTTCCCCAAATTTGACAGTAATTCTAATAGTTTGAATTATATTAGCAACGATGACTTGTGAAAACTGATACTTCTACCAGAAAAAGAGCTTAAACATCCTTCTTTAGAAAGTCGTATGAAATTGTCACAGAAAGAGGCAATGGGAGGATGCAGGTTAAAAAAAAAGTAAGGAAAAGGATCATAAAGGTGTCGGGAAGTTAATAAAAAACAGTCTTCAGTAGTTTGTGGTGAGTGTGCTGAGCTTTTAAACATTCCAAGTAGGTGTGCACGCTTACAGCTGATTCTCTATGTGTAATCTTGTAATCCTTAAGAAACGCAGTGTCCCTGCCCCCGCCACCCACCACCACCCCACAAAAACACAACACAACAAAACTACACAAGCCTCAGCTTCTACTGAATCTCATCTGCTTTGGACAGGCGTGATCTCCGGAAGCAATTAGGGTTTTTAAGGCAAAGTCACCCACAGCTTCGTCCCCTATTTCCTTTCTTTCTTTTTTTAAGGGTCAAATCACCTTATTGAGAGAACTGGAGAGAAGGAGTCAGTACTGGAGCGGCCCTGAACCGGGCCAGATGGGATGTCCCCGGCAGGGCGGGATCACCGAGAGCTTCTTCCCTGATTCTCTGCTACTGGATCAAGTTGGAATCACCCCATATCTGTGCTGGACAGTGTTCCCACTGTTCATGTCCAAACAGAACCAGAGAACATGACCTCACCTGGGGGCTGTGCCTTTGCAGATGAATCAAGTTAAGACGAAGTGATTCTGGACTTGGGGGGACAAGTCTAATATTTGGTGCCTCTATAAGGAGAGGGACGTCTGGACACAGACACGCAGAGAGGACGGCCACATGGCCACGATCACTGAGACTGCAGTCCCATATCCACAGGTCACAGAGCATCAGCAACACCAGAAGCTAGAAGAAGCAACGGGAACTCCTCCCAGAACCAGCAGAGAAAGAGAGGCTCACCAACACCTTGATCCAAGAATTCTGACCTCCAGGACGGTGACAGGGTGAATTCCTGTTTTGGTTTTGGTTTTGGTGTGGCGGGGTGGGTCCTGGGGATTGAACTCAGGGGCACTCAACCACTGAGCCACAACCCCAGTCCTATTTTGAATTTATTTAGAGACAGGGTCTCACTGAGATGCTTAGTGCCTTGCTGTTGCTGAGGCTGGCTTTGAACTCATGATCCTCCTGCCTCAGCCTCCTGAGCCTCAGGGATTACAGGCATAGGCTACTGTGCCTGGCAAATGTCTATTGTTTTAAGCCAACGTATCGCTGGTAATTTCTTACAGCAGCCCCAGGAAATGAATTCAACGTCCCATACCCTGATTCGATACAATTGCTAGTCATTCTACCCTATTATTTGAGGGTGATTATTTATTAAGGAACATTTACAACACTGTAAGTTTTATTTACTCCAAATATCACATGTTGGATATACAGTTCCGTTGAAGTAAAAGGAACAGTACGAGAATACAATGAAGTAAATCACGCAACATTTAAATTTGGCCTCACTTAAGCAACAAATGCCAGATACTGTTATAACATCGTTCAACCCTGACTTAAACTTAGGATAACAAAAGGCCAGGTGGATCATCTGTATCAGCTGAACGTGGTAACACACTGCCTATCTCTAAACAGATAAAATCATGATTTTTAAGTTCATCTACATGGACTTATTTGTTCAAATCTGCTCTAAAAGAAAAAACAATACACGACAAATTCTTAATTGGTAAAATAATTTCACAACTACAAAATTAACTTGCTAAGGACACCATCCTCCACTGGCATGGAAGGAGCTTCCCAACCTCTTCACTGTCTGTTTATTTATTTATTTTTCCAGTGGAAAATGGTGGTGGTGGAGGTAAAGCAGTATGAGAGATAAAGTGTCACTGATCAAACTGTCCACAGTAAAAAATTTAACAGAACCCTTAAAGTTAAAACAACATGGTCAACGATGACAACCTGGATGCACTTTTCAAAAAATCATCCCTGGAAACCAAGAGGTGATCTGGGTTGTCGATGCCTCCTTCCTTCAGGGTCAAATTTCCCAACGCAGCCTAAGACAGCAAATGCCCTTAGTGTTCCCTGCTGTTATTCAGGCCCAGTCTCTCTTCCTGGGGGGCTGTCACAATGTGGGGACTCTCCCATGGCTCTCCTGGACCCTGCCTGCTCTGATGACTGACAGCGTTTGTGCTGATGAGCTTCTGGGATAAAACGTGGTCTGCCTGCAGACCTAGGCCGGGCCCAGTTAAAATGAATTAAATTTGGCCTAAACCAGCCTCTATATTTGGGTGATAAAACATGATGAACTGCAACCCAGGCAAGAGCAAGATGCAACCCACCCTAAGAGTGCGCCTTGGTAACCAAGCAACAGCCGGAGCCCATCAAGGTGGAAGAGGCTCAGGCCATCCCAGGCTGAAGGCTGCCAAATGAGTCAGGGGCTGGATGTGGGCAGTTATGATACGGTGCTGCTATGAGATTATACTGCCTGGTGACACTGTCACTGTCTCGGTTTGTGTAAGTACGCCATATGTGTTCACGCTGAGACAGAATCACCTAAGGACCTATCCCAGAATGTAGCCCCAGAAGCGTCAGGTGACTGTATTGCCAAGTAAGGCAAACCCTGAACTGCACCAGTCTGGTGATCTCTGCAGCCATTTCCTGCTTTTCTGGTTGAAGTACATGCGTTGGGGTGCGGGGAGGGAGGGAGACCTTCTGGCTCACCTTGGGTCTGGAAGGCGGCTTGGCTCTGGAACCTACTTCTTGGTCAAATAAGTGGTTACACTGAATTCCTATCAGTTTTTTATTTACACAGTGGTGCTGTTGTGGAGAAAAAATAACTAAAGTGGGAGACGGGCCAGGGCCCACGGAGCCCCGCCACCCCACACCGCAGCTCCTGGGCACTTTCCTCCTTGGATCTTGAGCTCCAATCACTTCACGACCTGAGCTCTCCAAATTTACCTGTGCAACCTCTTCCCCCCTTTTCTTTCTCATTATTACCGAACTGGACTCAGAGAAGAGGCCTCAGGTGTCTGAGTAGGTCAGACAGAAGGTACAGGACTGGATAGGTTGGAGGCCACAAGATGGGGTTCTTGATCTTCAATTTTGATTGTTTTGATTTGGATGACGTTGGCTAGGTTCGTGAGTCAGAATTATGGGCGTGCACATGCACATTTGGGGGAAAAGAGCTTAGCCTCACTAGGAAACAGTGGCCACATTCTGGAAGTTTCCATTTGGACAAAATTGTTTACTTGCCACACATATTAGAAAAACAAGAAAATCACCCCCAAACAGTGGAATGTGTTCTTTAATTGGCACAGAGGCATCGAAAAGACTGAATGAATTAAAACAACAACAACAACAACAACAACAACAACAACAAAACCTCCTGAAAAGATTCTTTGGAGAAAGCAAATGGAAAGCTTCAGCAGCAGACCAAGGGCAGGGTGAAAGGGGACTACCTTGAACTAAGCCCATCCGCCACGGGTCTTTGCCTAGATACTGAGTCCACTATTCCATCAGCCCTTTTTAAAAGCCCACTTGTCCCTTCCCCTTGAGGACAATAAAAAAGCGAAAGTCAAACAGATGCCTTATAAAGGGAGAGCTGGGGGCCAAACCTGCCCGTCTGAACTGCTTTTACTCCACGGTCTAAGTATACAGCCGGCCGTTGTAAGCGACTTCTCAAGTCCAAAAGAAGATCCTCAAAAACTTATCAAGGAATTTAGGACCCTTGTTATGAGCTTAGGGCTCAAGACTTCCTGACCTTGACCAATCTATTCACACACTGGAACCCGGAGAAGCTTAAAAATGGATGATAGAAGCAAAAACCAAAGCTGGCTGAGAAGAAGACCCTTCAAGGTCAGACCAAGGGGAGCTACGAAAATGACTGAAAGAGTTTTAAATTCGATTCCTGAAGTTTCCCCACAGAAAACAAATTGCTCCATTATATAATCCTGTAGGAAAAAGAAGGATGAATCAGTTTCAGATTACGGAGCTCACCCAGGAACGCCGTGAAGCATCCTGGGCTCAGAATTCAAGGGATATTTCTTGCAGGCACCAAAAGGCATGGACTGCTTTCTTTATAAATGGACCTGGTCATGAACTTGGCAGTCTGGTTAAGAAACAAGGTGGAGCGCGGTGGTATTGCATGCTTCTAGTGCCAGCTACTCAGCAGGCTGAGGCAAGATGATCCTGGAGGCCAACATAGTGAGACCCTGTCTTAAAAAAAAAGAGAAAGGGCTGAGGGTAGACTGCCCTGAGCAGCTGAGGACCTGAACCCCCCACAGGCTAACAAACTTACACAAACTCCAACTCCAACAACGGCAGGGACCCAGACCAAAGTGGCTTCCCCGTCCTTCTCTGAAATCTAGAACGAGGGTTCTGTACCTCTAAGGTGTCTGCCTCCATTGCAAACAACCAGGACACTGGGGGAGAACTTGTTCACTTTTATGTCAACCTAACAATAAACGTTTCTTTCTCTGGGGCCAGACTGTTTTCCCATTAGAGGAATAATAATAATAATCAACACTGATGGTTCTCTAAAGGGTTTTCCAGTAAATTGCTCCCTGCAATCATCCTGACCAAACAAGGAGAAAAAAATAGGGAACCCAACATAAACTCCACTTGAAAAAATCAACAAACCCATGGGGCTGGGGACGTGGCTCAATCAGTAGCGCTCTCGCCTGGCATGTGCGGCGCGCTGGGTTCGATCCTCAGCACCACATAAAGATAAAATAAAGATGTTGTGTCCAACGAAAACTAAAAAAATAAATATTAAAAAATTCTCTCTCTCTTAAAAAAAAGAAAATCAAATCGACAAACCCCTTGGAGTAAAAAAGGTCATCTCTGTGGTGAGGTTTCAACTCAGTACAAGAGGGTCCCACAGCTGACACTCTAATTGACAATGGGGCCTCTTTAGATTAAAAAAAAAAAAAAAAAGTAACATTATATCTGTTGGCTGGCTCAAGTGAACTTGCTGGGGCCAGACTCACTCTCCAAACTAAAGGGACACATAAAATTCTCTTGGGAGGGAGGAAGAATCTTAGGAGTTTGTTTCCCAGTGCCCAGGAACTAGAACCCCCATGCTCCCTACAGGCAGAACTTGATTTGGCTGGAGCTCAGGCCTATAGTACCCTTGACCTTTCTAAAAGCCCTGGATGTTTAATGGCTTCTTCTGCTACTGGAAGGATTGAAAGTGTGGAGCTCTAAAAGTCCAAATAGGTCATTCTAAACCTTCACCTAAATTTCCCTAACATCTAATGGAGCTCATCAGTTGTAGAAGGCTTCATTAAACAGGGACACATGATTCTGGTAAGACCCCACTCCTCTCAGGGAAGAAATCAAATGGATGAGGTTGGAGATTTGTTCCAGATCTGTGAGCAATTAATACAATCATGATGTCTGTGTTTCCTGCAGTTCCAAATGCTCCCATCTTTCTGTTTGAAGTGCCCACTGATTCAAAGTCATGGCAATCAGGTCCACTGACACGGAAAACAAAGGCCCACCCTTACAAAATAGCTCCTGGGTGGCCTCAGGCCCTTAACAATAGAGCCGCAAAGGGTCACCAGGTAAAAGCAGCTTCTTGTGACCATCAGCCGATGACAAGCAAACCTCTCACAAGTTACAAACTGGAAACCAGGGCTTTTGGAAATGACACAAACACTTCCCTTCAACTTCACAGGAGGGATCCTACCAAATCCTCCCCAGCTACATTAAAGTTCTGGGACCTCAAATCCTCCGCCCATACTTCAAAACTTAAAAGGGCCCCTTCATACTCCTGGAACTGCACATGTGGTGGAGATGTTAAAGGTAAAGCTAATCAAGGAATTTCTTCCTGAAAATAGCATCTTAAGCTTTCCAAGATCCTGGATCAAAACTTCTCTGTTACAACAAAGGCCTTACCTCTTTTCTTTTTTCTGTTTCTGGCTAATTACTCCCCACCCCACCCCAAATAGGGAAAGAAGTGCAGAATGATCATCTGTCAATGGCTTCAGCAAAGGCTTACGCTTTAGCAAGAAGCCAGAATGAGGGCGGGGGGTGGCTCAGTGGTAGAGCACTGGCTTGGCCTGCACAGCCTGGGTTCCATCCCAGCACTGCAAAAAATAAATAAGTAAAAAATAAAAAGAAAGAAAGGGTGACTGTTGAGACTGTGGGCTAATGCCAAAAAGATGAGTAAACCCTTTCATTAATGCTAGTACCTTTCTCATGCTCCCATTGAGAAATACCCTGAAACACAAAGGAAGAGTGGAAGGCTACCCCGGATATTTTAAATATCACTACTTGCTTCCTAGGCTCACTGATCTCTCCAATCCATAGCCTGGCAGTCGCTACATATGGAAAACCTGTCCAGGGGAGGCCGACACAAGGTGTTCTGTGCTCCAGGTAACATGTTCTGGTAGCTGTCTGTGTGGGTAGGAGTGACCGCTCATATGAGGTTACTGATAAACAACCAAGAAGGACCCCTGACAATAAGTATGGTTATGCATCCTTACAACAGGTAAACACGGTGCACTAAGAGCAAATTTTCCAGTATACCTGGAATAGGAGCCATGCAGACTTACAGGTGAGAGAACTGACGTATGTTCAAACACCACCAGATGGCCCTCATTTCCAGCTCCTGGGGGTCCTTCATGGAGTGTGGAGAGCTCATTTATTCTGTCATGCCTGCTCACTGGTTTGGGTCTTGCTGTTTGCCCTGGCTCACTCCTGCCTTCTGACCAGTTTCTTGGCCCTGTGTATTGTGTAATACTTACTCAGAAGCCTTAAATACCTGGATGCAACTGTCCTTGCTAAATCAAATGGTCTCACTGCAGTCAGAATGTCAAAAATGTAAAACACAAAAGTCATCCAACTCATGTGACATTATGAAATATAAATTCTGAACCAAGAACAAGCAGATTCATTATGATGGTTGCTAAAGATGGTGTCATGGCCCACGCCTATGGTCAGTCTGAGAGGATGACCCCAAGGAAGAATTATTAAAATTGAACTAAATTGGACTAAACTGGCCTTCTTACCTGGGTGATAAAATCAGACATAGGGCAGCCTCTATAAAATGAACTACAACCTAGCTTGATGTGCAAGCAAGTTGTAATCTAAGTGTATACCCCTGGTAACCAAGCAACTGAGCATCGGCCAATTATAGCAGCTGTTCCCTCAGCCAATCCCACACTAAAGTCTCCCAGATTATGCCCAAATAAAGCAAATGCCGAACTGTACCAATCAACTAATCTCCGTATGACATTTCCTGTTTTTCCCACTATAAACACAGCTCATGACCTTGGGGGTGGACGGCATTCTAAACCATTTTGGATCTGGAGTGCTCCATGGTTCTAGAACCTATTTCTTGCTCAAACTTAGGTTAAGTTTAACTCCTGTCAGTTTCCTTAATACCCTTCTGCAGAGAAGTGTATTAAGTCATTTTGAGTGTAAAAGCTCAATCCAGAAATGCTAGTGTGAGCTTGTACTAATCACCCCTTTTCTAATTTTTATGTTTGACATCCTTGGGGCTTAACTAACTTCTAAGAAATTGCCCCTCCCAAGGCTGGCTAATTCCTAGACACAGGAAGAGTGGCCTGGGAGCATGCTTTCCACAGGCAGACTAACCAATCCACCTCCTCTATCTGGCCCTTATACCAAAGGAGAGAATGTCCCCTGCCCTAATCACTAGGGGTCAGCTATCAGACAACTAGAGAGCGCCCTTGTAGCCAGAGCCCAGGGCACAACTGAGTTGAAGCAATGCAAGCCGCTTCCCTTGCCCAGCCTTGTGTTTCCTGCAGAAAACATTCAAGGGCCCACGAGGGACGGGGGCTGTACTTTCCCACCACTCCCGTTCTGCCTGAGTGCTTCCCTGATTGGCCCTGGGGGCGCGTTCTGCCTCTCTTTCCCGCGGAAACCGGACACGAAGCTTCTCTTCCACTGGAGCTCCCCTCTTTGCGCTGTCATTCGGGTCACCTTTATAAATTTGGACTTGGGGCTGGGGACACAGCTCTGTGGTGGACTGCTGGCTTGCCAGGCTCGGCTGAGGCCCTGGAAAACACTCTGGGACTGACTCGGGGCCAACATCCCCAACTCAGTGGAGTGCACAGACTTTCTTCATCTTCTTGCACGACTGCCACAGACTCATTGATCCAGGAACCTAAGAGGCTATCTTACAGGATTTAGAAGTGAAAGTCAAGGTGAAGTTAGGTGAGGAGTTGTACAGGCAAAAAGGCCTCCTCCCGGGAGTCAAGGTCTGAGCTCAGCATGCAGTGTCCCTCCCCAGCAGACAGGAGGCGACGCCTCAGGATGCAGGTGTCTTCCTATAAGGTGGCGCCCACCACTCACCCTGCACATTCGGGTTGGCTCTTGTGGGAACTGGGTTCTGATGAGCCATGGTATCAGGACAGGGCCTTCAATCAGGGATAGTGGAGAGACAAAGAGCTCCCTCTGCTGCCTGCCTCTGCTGCCCAAGCTAACAAATGGGAGATGGGGACCTCCCTGCCCCACCCTGTAGCCACATTTGGGAAAAACAAACTCATGGCTTCAACAAAAAAGAATCTCTCACACTTATCATCTTTTCTAACTTGTCATGATCTCTCTTTCTCCTATCTTTCACATTTCTTGTTTCCTTATTTGATAGAATCTCTTGTGGTTCTGGATCTTTGGTGAACCCCACAGGCTGTGTGCTGAACTAGGTCACCAGCCCCGCGGCTCTACTGGGAGGCAGTGAAACCTGTGGAAGGCGGAGCCTAATGGGAGGAAGTTAGGTCACTGGGGTGAGGCCTTGGAGGAGATACTGGAGGGTGCTCCTTTCTCTCTCTGCCTTCTGGCCACCATGAGGTGAATAAGTTTCCTCTGCCACACACTCTGCAGTGATGTTCTACTTGGCACGAGGCCCAAAGCAATGGGGCCGGGAGATCACAGGCTGAAACATCTGAAACCATGAGCCCAAATAATTTTTTCCTCCTGTAAGTTGAATTTTGTCAGCTGTTTTGTCACAGTGATGGAAAGTGAACTAACATAGCATCTAAATTTTAAAGAGTGATGTTTTCCCAAGTAATTTAAGTGATGGGGGAAAAAAGAATAAGAAACAGGTACCATGAAAAAGCAACATTTAAAAATATAAAAAATCCTATGTAATATAGCTAGGTCAAGTACTAGACCATTCTGATTGAAAATATAATTGCTGAGTTACAATTTATCATGTTGGTGGTTTTGGGGGTAAGGCCATTTGTGAGAAAAAAGGGACACATTTATGATTATACAAACGGGATAACACTGTAGAATTTCACATGGGAACTGGTTAAAAAAATCACTGTGGCGGGCTGGGGATGTGGCTCAAGCAGTAGCACGCTCGCCTGGCATGCGCGTGGCGCTGAGTTCGATCCTCAGCAGCATGTATAAATAAAGATGTTGTGTCTGCCGAAAACTAAAAAATAAATATTAAAAAATTCTCTCTCTCTCTCTCTCTAAAAAAAAAAAAATCACTGTGGCTCATGAAAAGAATCTTAATTTGTAAAAATCTTCATTTGGAACTTTTGGGACTATCCTTTCCCTGTCGAAGATGGAGAGGCCCAGGGGATGGGATATGCTACAAACATCTCGGGCCTGCCTCTTCGCATCCTAGCTGCAGCTCAAGGACAGGCAGGTATGGCACTATGAGTCAGGGTTCTCAGGGGAACAAATGGGAAAATACCTAATAGAGTGCGCAGCATCTCCGGAAGAAGGTGACTCCCCACACTGGTACTTCTCCTGTTTGCTTTTATCCTGGTGTGAGGAGAGCACCAGGGCTGGAATGCTTTCCACAAAATTAAACTGAAAAGCCCTCACTTGTGCTGAGAGTTCACATTATCTTCTGAGAAATCCTTAAAAGTGACATTTTCCTGACAGAAAAGAAGAAGAAGGCTGGGGAGGAGGAAGCAGACTGTGCTGCTCTGAGCTAGATCTGTAGCAAAGTGGAGTTGGGCCTCTTTTTTATGTTTGTAAAAGATGCTTCCTTTATAATGTGACCAGGGGACACAGATATCCTGGTTCAATTTCCTGGACACCATCATAGGAGGGCTGGGTGAGGACCCATCTCTGCCTACTGGGCACCGTGTGGAGGACTGATGCTGGAGAAGCACTGTGGGGTGCTCACACTCAGTCTCCTTTGGTGTCAGCAGACAGGGACGTGTGTTGCTGTCATCTGCGTCACCACTGCCGGGAGGGCGCTCACATGAGAACACTGTTCAGACGGAGGCAGACAGTTCTGACTCCTTGCACTGGCTCAGTATGACATTCAGCAAGTGAGGAGGAGCAAGCAGGAGCTTCCAAAGGCTATAGCAGTACAGAGACTTTGGGTTAGAAAGGCTGCGGGGGAAACGGTGGTCATTCTGTGGTTACTTAGAAACTTCCAAGTGGAAATAGCAGTGATGACTCTTCTGACACAGGATTGAGGTGAGACAGAAAGGAGGACCAAAGTTCCCCAAAGAGAATTTCTTTTCTGCTGTTTCTTTCCGTTTTTGATACTGATGCTGCCCGGGGCTGGTGGGAACTGACAGACACCAGTGGCTGGCTGCTGGGCTGACTGACAGCCGTCATGCCCCTCCCTGCTGCAGCACAACAAGACAACCACCCCAGACCGGGCAGAGACTGGGGTCAGATCGGGACTATTGCTATTGTCCTTGGGGCATCTGAGTTTGGATGGGCTGTGACTGACACTGCTACTGCTCCTAAAGTGCCATCGAAAGTGTCAGCAATCTTAGCCCTACTGCATCCTCAGAATGACAAAGGCTGTCAGTCAGAGGGCTCCGACTTTGGCAGCCTGGCTGCCTGTCATCATGACAGCAACTGAAGCCCAACCCACCTGCTGCTGCTGCTACTTCTGCACTCCTGCAGCTGTCATGCAGCTGTTATGGTTACCATGGAAACTGCAGGAACTGTCAATCAGGTGGCTGCTTCTCTGACAGTCCAACAGAGCTGTCTCGATAGCGACGGCTGCTCCAGAGGCCTCCATGGCTCCAGGAGACTGCTCTGGTTGGGGCAGCCTTGGACATCCTTGAACCACCCCAGACATCTCTGCCTACTCTTCAGATGTCCTCACTCTGGTCCTTGAGGAGCACCACTCCCCCATGACAGCTGGGCCAGTACAACTATGCAGACTGGCAGGACTGAAGAAAGTCTGGTTAGGTTAGTAGGCAGGAGACTGTGGACATGTGGGCATCGGTTTTTTTTTTTTTTTTGCTACATAAGCAGCACTTTTCTCAGTCTTATCAGGACAGTCTGGGACTTCCATTCACCACTCTGCCTGCTGTGCTGCAGCATAAGCCCCAATAAAGACTTATTTAGATGATTTCTATCTTGGGTATAGTGGGCTGAGCTGGTCACAGTAAGAGCTGGTAACCAGGGCTGCTAGCCTTGAGAACGCCTCACAGGCAGATCACTGCTGACAAGCTCCAGACAAAGGCTGAGAGCAGAGAGCCATGGGAGACTGTAGGGAGCCGCTAGCCCCACACTGGGAGAGCTGCTAGCTCTGGCTGCTGAGGAGTTTCCAGCAGCAGCTAGAAGAGCTGTTAATGCCAGCTGTTGGGAAGCAGGGGCACTCAGGGAACAGGTTTACTCTGAGATACGAGAGCCACAGGCACTCGAAGCTCAGAGTTATCACACTAACTGCTGAGAGCTACTGGCACCCGAAGCTCAGAGCCATAACACTAAAAGCTAAGAGTCACTGGCACTCAAAGCCTGGAGCGTCAACATCAAGAGCAGAGAGTCACTGGCACCTGGATGTTGGAGCGCTAGAACTAAGGGAGTGGCCCTTTGCCTTTTTCCAATTTCCATCTGAATTGAGCAAAAGAATCCTTAACAAAGGTATGAATTTTTTTTTTTTCAAAAAGAGACAGACAATGGTTGATACCTATTAATTTTCATGAATCACTTCCACTAAAGGCTTCCTGGCATGTCAATCAGTTTTTTTTTTATTTAAGTGGTCAGATTAGGGAATACTTTCTCCTTATAATTAAGTTGAATGAGTCTAGTATTTTCTAACTCCCATAATGAAGCAATTGTAGTTACTGAAAAGTCCTACAATAAAAAAATCAATGAGTATAATGTCCTGCTAGTGAAATAACTGATGATGTGATAAAAATTTTTGTATTATGAAAAATTTCTTAAAACTAAAACAATTGAATACTCTGAATGAATGAGGCAGAACTTGTAGCTGTCATTTGCTCATTAGTTTTCATCATCCTTCGATTAAGAACGTGTGCCTCACAATCTAGGAAGCCAGTTATCTGCACCAGCTGGGTAGAACAGCGGGAACATCTGGGTACCCCAAATAGTTATCCCTGTCAATATTACCACGTGCATTAACCAAGGTATACCTATTGTTTTCTGATAAATAATGTTTGGTCTGATAAACATAAAACCGATATAATAAGAATTTAGGTTGACGTTGGAGAAAAATTTGCTGAACACTGACATCCCATGCCAGTCTCTTTTTCCTTGTACATTCTGGTTGATTTCCCTCGAACAGGCAGATTACCACGGCATGGCAATTTTTTAACATCGTCATATATTAGTGGATGGAGAGTAAATTGAAATTTACTGATGGGCCTAACTGGTAATGCAAAGCCTAGTAGAGAAGTGGACTGTCTCCTAAATGCTTAGCATCCATTAAATCAATGAGACAGGGCTCTGCTTGCAAGGGCTCTCTGACCTACTTTGGCGGTATGTCTGACATCCCAACACACATACAGTTTAAACTTACTCTTGCTTACTGTTCATTGAGTGTGTATAAATATATAGCCTCAAATTAACTAGATTATTATCAGACTTTTCTATATCCGAGATACATCTTGTATTTTCACATTAAATGGATTGCAACATGCAGTTTACGACACCTGGGACTACAGCAAGACGTGAAACACAGTTCTATCCAAAACTGCTACTTCTCGGGGAAGGACTAATTTTGGCTACTGCACTGGACAATGGTTTGATTCCTTAATTTCACAGATAAGTTCACAGGGACACACAAAGCCTAAGCGCATTTTTTGGTTAGCCTGTGCTCTAGTAATCTGTTTCCAGATTAAAACACAATCCCCCACCCCCCACGGCTGTCTGTGGTCACTGACATGTTTCGATCCATCTGGCAGAGCCAGATACTCCTCAGGAATGGAGTCCTCCATCCTTGTGAAACCTTTGCTTCCTGTGAGTCGTACGCGGTGCCCTGTGTTATCAGTGAACTGCATTCCTGAAACATTGGCTTCAAAGAGACTTTCTGAGGTGGTTTTCCAACCACGGGCGCCATGTAAATTTCAGGCTCACTGTGTACTGGGTCAGATTCCACCAGGCACAGACTTGCAACTAGTGAGCAGGAGTCAGCGTTTGGCAAGAGTTCCATTTGGCAACCTTATCGACAAGCATTTTACAAAGCGCAGTGGCGGGGATGGGTGCTCGTCCATTCCCAGCATTCACAGAAGTACAGGGAATTCCAGAAACCTCAACGCAGAGAGAAAATCAATTATTTCTTTCCCTGTTATTAACCACCTCTTGGCGACTATTCATCTTACGTGTGATGATGACTAATATTCGCCGAATGGCAAGCAGGCGCTCCTTCAGGGAGGTCATGCCGAGGATGGCTAGCTGAGCCTTGCGCTCCAGCGGCAGCACTGCCAGGATCCACCAGGACCAGGCAGGACCACTAGGATTGCTCTGCAAAAGGAAGGAGAAGAAACACAAGATTGAGGCCTAAAATATACCGACCCCTGTTCCCTGATATAGTTTTGGTTTAACCAACAAACGTGAGCAAAAATTAGATGCCACCTTCTATTATTGTAGGACCACCTCACAATTCATTCATCCCTCAAGCTGCAAAGTCCAATGTCACCTGCTCAAAGTTGGGGAGACTCATGAAGCAAAGAGCCTGCCAAGAGATGGCCCTTCCACAGGGAATGCCATGGATTAGCTGTACTCCTGAGTACACACCAGCCAGAGGGGAAGGCCACGAGTGTGACCTCCGTGGTCCAGTATCCAGTGCTACTGTTTTGTAAGTTTTAAGCAGGCTCCATAAAGCATGATATTATAAAGACTACAAAAGCATATGTATAAGATTGAGTGCCAAAGGAAATAAATCTTATAATAAAGTCAATGTGGCAAATGTGTAATATGTATAAAACATTTATATATAGACATGTTACATGTGGGAACTATCGTGAATTTACACATATACACATGTTGCGAATTTATATAAATTTATAGAAATAAATATATGTGTATATACACACACACATACACACAAATACATACACCTATACCTGCGTATATGTATATGATTGCCTTTCTTTAACAAAATCAAACACGTACTTCTGGATTGAGCTCTAGGCAAAAACTGCTCATAAGTTTATTTCCAATATTCCTGATACTGGACCCAAGACATCCCTGTCTCTCTGCTTCCAAGGTCTTGGATTCTCTTCTGTTCCTACTCCAAAGACAGGCAAAATACCAACTGGGAATCAAGGAGGGTGAACTCTGGAGTGGTTTTAGTTCAGGGTGGAGCAGATTCCATGAGTGGATTAGGAACAACATTGTGGCCAAAGCCCAAAGGGGAAGCCCAAGTCACTGTCAGGAGGACCGTGACTCACCCTTCCGTGGTGACTTCCAACACAGGGGCTGTAGGAAAATGACCTAAATGAATTCACATTTTTCTCTTCCTTCCTCATCTTAGAGTGGGAAAAAACTGAATAACATGCCTAATGGGAAGGATAGCACATTAAAAAAAAAAGTGCCTCCTGCGTGCTACCCAAAGTCCTCTGTACTGGCAGAATAACAGGCTCCAAAGATGCCCACACCCTGATCCTAACACCTGTGAACATGGCACTTCACATGGCAAATGTGGAGCAGTTAGGATCTCAAGGTGGGAGACTCTCCTAGTGGGCCCAGTGCAATCACAAGGCGCCTCTCCAGGCTGGAGTCAGGGAGATGTGACTATGGAGAAGCGGACAGGATGTGACGTCCCTGGCTTTGATGAGCTAAGAGTGCCAACAGACTCCAGAAGCTGGAAAAATGCAGTGAAACAGATTCTCCCCGACAATCTCCTGAAAACGATGCACACGGCCATCATTTTGATCAGGGCCCAGTGAGACCCACGTCAGGTTTCTGACACAGAAAACTAACATGTAAGATGATCCATTTGCATTGCTTTAAGCCACCACATTTGTGATCTTCTGCTACAGCAGTAACAGAAAGCGAATACATCTTCCAATCAAAGATTGATCTGGGTTAATAAGAAAAAGCCTTTGGGAAAAGAATGACTCACAGCTCCTGGCAAGTTAATCTCATCACTTTGCTTTCTGAATCTGAGTCAGAGCCCGGAGGAGCCAGAGGGCTTATGTGAGAAGGGACTGTCGGGTAGGACTTGGAAGCAATTCTGGCTATTAAAGCTCTCTCCTGATTTTGGAAAACACGGAGCTCAACCAGAGGGTAAAATCTAGAAACCCCATCAAGAGATAAGAAAAAGATATAAATAAACGGGGGAAAGACAAGAGATAACTGATCTTACACTAAACCTGTTGAGAGCTGGTCCTACCCCACCCCCCACCCCAAACACATGATAAGACAGACAGATGCCCACGTGCAGATGGGAAGAACTATATTGTGCCAGTCACAATCCTATGTCATCCTTGCTGGACACCCTCACCCAAATGAGGAGGTCATGTGCACGCAGAAAAATACTCCAAAACCCTAAGGCCCATTTACTGCTTGAAAAACCAGCTTTACCCAAAAATCATTTTCAAAGCTCATGATGCCTGGGCCCCACAAAGGACTTGGAAATAAGGCTTCCAAGTTTCACCAGGATCACGGGGGTCTCCCTGCTTACTCAACACATCTTAGACTAGGAACGAGGAAACATCATGTGGAAAACACCGTGTTCCTGCCAAAATGACGAGACCGCTATCCAGGTCTTACGGTGTTCATGAGAAAAGCCAAAGCACAGGAGCTGGCGGCCACGCAGAACAGGAGGGTTTTTGTTAGAAAAAAAATTATCTTGATAGAGAGCACTTTTTTCCCTCAATGCACAAGCTGCCCATACTAAGGGCTTTCTTGGGCTGTTAATAAAGGAACTGATTCATAAGCAGTGATAATGGAATATACAGCATTGTGCTGCCAAATTTTTCCATCAGAGTGATGTGTCTCAGCACAGTATAGCAGGACGCAGAGCATGAAGAAGGGAAAAGGAGACCGTACCTGAGGCTCAGGTTCCCTGTCAGGCATTAACCCAAAATGACTTAGGATCTGTTCTTTCATGTGGTCCTGAAGAGATGCGAACCAGGACACTGACTGTTGGTAAACAGAATCATGAAGAGCAGCCAGTTCCTCGTACTCTGGACCTTCCACCTGGCCAAGGAAAAAGAGAGAACCATTTTAATAACTCAGGAGGTATGTGGCCCTCTGCTCGTCTGCTCCAGCTAGTGACCTCTGCCCTATCCGCTAAGTGCATTTGTGGCGTTTATTGTTTCAATAATTCACGATTATTTCATTAAAAAGGTATATTCTCAATAAAGAAATTTTGCACGATTTCTTTTTGCCTAATTGAGAGCTACTGATTGCATGATTATTCCTCTTAAGACTCTTAACATAAGCACAATTCCACATGATGAATGATTTTTAATGGATGCATGTAATTATACACTTGAGATATACTGTAATTTAACCATTTACATAAGATAGATTTAGATACTTTCAACTTTTTTACATAAGATAGATTTAGACACTTTCAACTTTTTATTTTGAATATAAATATTCAAAAACAAATTTTTTGGGGGGGGGGTGAGGGAAGTATTATTTCCTCAGGAGAATTTCCTGGAAATAGAATTACCAAGTGAAAGAACTTAACATTTTAAAAACTGTAGTCCATATCAGCAAACTGTATTCCGAAAGACACATTAGAGCAACCCCTCATCCATGCATTAGCTAGGGCTCAGCTGGAACACTTGGCTTCTGGTATCTATCTCACTGTCAAGTCCAATGTCTTACATTTCCATCTCAGCCCTTCGTCAGAAGAACTGGTAGAATAAGAACAGTGGACTGGGGCCTGGGTTTAGATTGGTTTCATCACTGACTTAACATGGGTGAATTCTAAGCAGGCTCACAGCCTCATTAAGGTAGAGTTTTCTCATCTGCAAAATAGAAGTAAACCATTCAGGTCCTTTCTGGCTATAGAATTCCAGTTTTCTATGGGAACTATGGTAGACTGAGGAATTACACTGTTATGCAAATGGCTCTCTTGAACTTGATTGGTAAAATCAAATATTCTTCGGTGGTGGAGGACTTTCCTTAAAAAAAAAAAACCACAAAAACTCTAAATTTATTTCATGTTGTTACTATTTGAGCCATTTAAAAATTATTAAATACAGGGCTGGGGCTGTAGCTCAGTGGTAGAGCGCCCGCATCACACGTGTGAGGCACTGGGTTCGATCCTCAACACCACATAAAAATAAATAAATAAGATATTGTGTCCATCTACAACTTAAAATATATTAAAAAAAGAACTATTAAAAAATATACAAATACATAAAAGCTGTCATCCATAACAGTCAATAAAGCAGAGACCCTGAGGACTATCACTTTCAGCCATGGTCTTCAAATCTAGCTCCGTGGTCCAGTGACAATGGAATTTGGCTCCATGCTCTGCTCCATTGCCAGAGAAGCAGAGACCCAGCTGGAGGAGAGAGGCCTGGTGCACTGGGTGTGGATCCATTTACACGAATATGCATCGTCATCCCCAACATGACTTCTACGGAAGACCACAGACTCTTACTTCCACATTTCCAAATGTCAAAGAATTTTTAAAAAGAATACAATGATTCCAACAATTTCCTCCTTCTAAATATTAAAAACATTTTTTTGTTACAGTATAATTTACATACCAAAAATAAATGTGCAACTCTTAATTGCCTCAGATAATTTTGTCAACTGTGCACACCAGTCTAACCATCAACCTAAACAAGACAGAGAACATTTCCATCACGTAGAAAGATTACAAAGTCCACCCTACATTGTTAGGGTCTGTAAACAAGTCAGGATGGCGCCTGGCATTTTGCCAGAGGGAGTGGTTTGTGAAGTAACGCCAGCGAGCCATTAAGTGTGGAGATTCCTTATTGGTTGACTGCTGTATCTAGTTTATGTTAATTAAGATAAGCTGTGTGGAATGTATATATACCCTTCCTGTCCTACAATAAACGGCTCCCACTCCTGCTGTATCAACGTACACAAGTTGTTTGTCACCCCCCCCCACCCCCCACCCCCCGGTTATTTTGCTGCAGCCGAAATGCGGCACTACATTTTCTGAGTTTCATTACCAGATGCTAGTTTTGCCTGTACTTGGAAGTATACCGATGGTGATGGTTGTGCCTGTTGCCTATGTAGAATAAATACTGGTATTTTTCCTGAGGCCGGCTTCTCTTACTTGGCATAATGTCTGTGAGATTCATTCATGTTGTTTATTCCTTTTTACTGTTGAGTAGTATTCCACTGTATAAATGTACCAAACTTGTTTATCTATAAACCCGTTGAGATCTGGGCTGCTTCTAGCTTTTAGCTATTAATAAGATTCTTATGGATATTCTCATAAGTCTTTTTTTTTAAATCTCTTCAAAACATTCTGCTAATTTGTCAAATTATGTGTCCTGATATTTCTATTAGAAACAAATAATTCTTTTTTTTTACCTAGGCATTGTTTTAACAATTTAATTAAATTATTAGCACATGCTAATTATACAAGATAACAGGTTTCTTTGTGGAATTTCATACCTGCATATAACATGTTTTGATTGTATCCACCCTCCCTTTTGCCCTCTCTTATCCCCACTCCTCCTGGTCCCCTTCCCATTCCCCGATAGTCCCCTTCTTACTGGTTTCATGTCATATTCCACCCCCGCCCCAGATTGCACATATGAGAAAACAAGTAATACTTTTTTGTGGTTGCTGTTAGTATTTTTTCAGTTGTTGATGGATCTTTATTTTATTAGTTTATGTGGGTGCTGAGAATTGAACCTAGTGCCTCACACATGCCAGGCAAGTGCTCTACCCAAACCCCCGCCCCCATACTTGTCTTTCTGAGTCTGGCTTATTTCACTTAACAGGATGACCTCCAGTTCCATCCATTTTCCTACAGATGATAGGCATGATTTCACTCTTCTTTATGGCCTAATAACACTCCACTGTGTATTACCCTGTATTTTCTTTATTCATTATTTGCCTCAGACAATTTTGTCAACTGTGCACACCAGTCTAACCATCAACCTAAACAAGACAGAGAACATTTCCATCACGTAGAAATGTACCTCGATGGGCACTCAGACTGATTCCATAACTGGGATCGTGTGAATAATGCTATGATAAACAGGGGTGTGCTGGTAATTCTATGGTATGCTGACTTTGATTCCTGCCGGTATGTACCCAGAGGTGGTATAGCTGGATCATAAGGCAGTTCTGGTTTTAGTTATTTGAGGACCCTCTATACTGTTTTTCCATAGTAGCTGTACTAATTTGCATTCCCATCAATAGTGTATAACGGTTCCTTTTCCCTGCATTCTAATATTTCTTTATTTTTCCTGACAATAGCCATCCTCACTGGGGTGACATGGAATCTCAATGTACTTGTGATTTGCATTTCCTGAGGGCTAAAAATGTTGAGCATTTTTAATATAATTTTTGGCTATTTGTACTTCTTTTGACAAATTAGACAAATAATTGCTAACGGTAAGAGACTCAAGTCTTTTATACTTAGCTGCGAATTAAGTCATTCTCAAATACTACTGTTTCGCATTACAGCTCATTCTGAATTAAACCAGTAACTAGGAACAGGGATTGACAAACTACTGCTTATGAGTCAAATGCCTTTCACCATCATGTTTTCATAAATAACATTTTACTGGAGGCTGGCTGTTGTGCCCACTTATTTACATATGGCCTATTGCTGCTTCTGCACTCCCAGGCAGCTGAGTAGCTGCAACAGAGAGCACATGGCTTGCAAAGTCTAAAGTACAGTCATCCCTTAGGGACTGGTTCCAGGACCCCCTGTGGATATCAAAATCCATATAAAATAACGCAAAATTTGCATATAATCACACAGATCCTCCCACACACTGTAAATCAGCTCTAGATGGCTTAGAACACCTACTACAATGCCAACACCATGTAGTCAGCTGTTACACTGCATAGTTTTTGTTTTTAGGAGGCAGGGTTTCACCGTGTTGCCCAGCCTGACCTCAAACTTGTAGGCTCAAGAGATCCTCCCTCCAGCCTCAGCACCTTAAGAAGCTGGACTAGAGCTGTGCACCACCATGTCCAGCTATATTGTGCTGTTTGAGGACTGATTCCAAGGAAACATGTTTATACATGCTCAGTACAGACTCAATTTTGCTTTTACAATGTTTCTGACACATGGTCAACTGAATCCAGGGAGCAGAATTCAGATACCGAGGGTCAACTGAAAACCTGGCCTTTCTAGGAAAAGTCTGCCAGCCCCTGGGCGAGAATATGAGGAATCACAAACCCAGTTTGTGATGTGCAGGTGGCGTACAAGTCTCTCCACGGAGGAATCTCAGTAAGAGATTTCTCTACCAGCCCCAACCCAGGTAAAACTGCACCCAGAGAATGAACAACTTCAGGGCTGGATGAAGAAGGAAATAAGCAATGCTGTGAATGAAAACCCGGCCAGGCCTTTCCGGGACGCAGAGTGAAAAAAGGTAACTGACCTCTAGGAAATACACTAGGAAAATGAGCCTCACCTTTTCATCTTCCAGGTATTCAATGTCTGCTGTGTTGTAGCCATCTCTGTGACGGTGGCTTAATACTCGGAACCGACTGATTCCGATGGCATCCACAACGGAGCTTCCATCAGGAAAGGTTCTGACCTCCTTGATCTCCAGCATACAGCCGTACTCGGAAATCCTTAAGGCACGTGGGGAGAAACAACCATTATTTTTAAAATGTTTAAATGTTTAAAATGTTTCTTCGAAAAACGTTTGGGTTTAAAAGGGAGTGCGAAGCCCACGTACTCCCCATAAAAGCCCTGCAGGTGACCGCTCTGCTGGAATTGCTAAATACTATGGAGTTGGTGGCTACAGGTGCCAGAGCACTTGGGCCTCAGCAGTTCAAACAAGCTAGTGCTTGGGAGGGACCTGAGACGTGGGAAGACAGAACCTTTAACGTGGCTCCTCAGCCCCCTTGGCCAGGCCCCATGGGGGGTTCCACTCCCACATACACCCTCTACACGGCTAGGATCCGTGGCATGTTCCCGTTTGGCCCCTCCACAGCCCCTCTCTTCTTCCCTGTCCTCTTGGACCACTCAAGTCCTGACAGCGCCCTTCCTATGTCACACACACACACACGGAGCTGCCCATGATGGTCCTGGGTCCGTCCACCCGCACTCCACAGCTCCCCTGGAGATCCCGTTCACAACCACGACTATACCTAGCACCTGCACCCTAGTGACAGTCATCACTGCACACAGCAGTACATACCACGCACTCACCCAAGACTCCCCAAAACAGGGAGACTCAGGTCACAGCAAGATCCAAAGTCAAGGTCTGAACCCTAAGATATCTGCTTCCAAAGTCTTCAACTGAACAGCTTCACTACACATCTCCAAATGAAAGACAGGAGAGGATTACAAGCCTATGAGTCCTGCTGCACAGCCGCTCCAGGATCTGGTGAAACTCTCCCTCTCGGTTATCCAACAGGAGGATCTTACCACAGCCCCTGAACGTCAGATCCCCCACATCTGCCTCAGCAGCAGAGCCTGTCGCACTGCGCAGCATCAGGTCTTGTCTGAGGACAGGAGGCTGTGTCTGCAGCTCCCAGGGCATCCCTGTCCTCATGCCTGCCCCCATAAGTCATCTGTAACCCAGCAATTCAGGAGGCTGAAGCAGGCAGATTATAAGTTCAAGGCCAGCCTCAGCAATTTATCGAGACCCTATCTCGAAATTAAAAAAAAAAAAAATTAAAAAGGGCTGGGGATGGTGGTAAAGCATCCCTGGGTTCAATCCCTGGATCAAAAAAAAAAAAAAAGAAAAAAGAAAAAAAATTAGCTGAACACTTATCACACACTGTGTCACCTCCTGCTTTTCCCCTCTTCCCCTGGAGGGACCTGTCTCCCTTCTTGGTCACCCTGAGCAATCTCTGCTGACGGATTCAAGGAACATAAGTTGAGAAGTTTATCTGGGTTCCTCTTGTTGTTTGGGTGGAATAACGTTCTTTTCATATTCCATATTCTTGGTGGAATTCCTGCAGCTTTTTTACTTTGCTTTCCTTGACTTTCGATGGAGCAAATTTTAATATATACTAATTAACCACTTCTGTGCTATGTACCCGCAAGCCTTTATATAAACATCTTCCCCTTGTCCTAACTGTAAAGTTAGTTCCGAATATTTTCTCTTAAAGCTTTTTATATCTTGCTTTTCACATTAGGAACACGAATGTGTTTGATGTTTATAGTTACAGGGTGAACGGTAGAGAAGAGATTTTTGTTGCCCTGTTTGGACTACCCATTACCTACTAATTTTATGGGCACCTTTTAATGAATAGTTTGTCCTCTCCCTCCTTTTTTGTTTTGTTTGTTTTTACAAAACTATATGTCACTCTGGAGTCCACATATGAGCTGATCTGTCTCTGTCATTGTTTCCTTGGTCTACTGTGGCTTATCAAGTTGATATTACAGGAATGTATTCTCATCTGCTCATTGGTTTCTTCAAAACTATCTGATCTTGCTTGGTCTTCTGTTTTCCCACAGTGATTCTAAAACAGTTTGAGCAAGTTCATGATAAAAAAAAAACAAAACAAAACAAGCAAAAACCTTTCTAGGATGCTGGCTGGAATTACTTTGGATTTATAGACCAATCTGAGTCTTTGCATCCATGAACATGGTATTTCTCTCCATTTATTTAGAGCTTCTTAAACATACTTCAATAAACTTTTAGAATTTCTCCACAAAAGTCCTATGTGTATTTTTTAAAAAAGATTCATCTGGGGCTGGGGTTGTGGCTCAGTGGTAGAGCGCTTGACTGGCATGTGTGTGGCCCTGGGTTCGATCCTTAGCACCACATAAAAATAAACAAATAAAGTAAAAACTCCATTTAAAAAGAAAAGATTCATCTGTAAGTATTGATGGTGGAAACTTGTGTGTGGTCTTAAAAAATCCTTTGTCCCCTTCTTCCTGGGCCCAGGGGTAGACTATGTTTCCCAACTTCTTTCACAACAGGTATGAGCATAAATGAGATGGCCCTTCTCCCTCAGAATCCTTTAAGAGTGCATGTGGTATGGGGTACGGTGGCACACGCCTGTAATCCCAGTGACTTGGGAGGCCGAGGCAGGAGGGTTGCAAGCACAAGGCCAGCCTAAACAACTTAGCAAGGCTGTAAGCAACTCAGTGAGACACTGTCTCAGAATAATAAAAAACAAAGGGCTAGGGATGAGGCTCAGTGGTAAAGTGGCCCTGGGTTCCATCCCCCAAAAGCAGATGTGCCTCTTCTACCAGAGAGCACCTGGATGTGGTGGCCTCACCACGCTCATGCAGAGCCGGCAAGTCCCTAAGGGATAAGAAGAGACCTTGGTCTCCAAATCAGTCCACAGAGGGAGCAGCCTGCTGTCTTGTCACATCCTCCAGCTTGTCATTTCCTCCCTAGACAGCTGACGTGAAAGACGGAGAAGTAAAACCAAGTGCCGTGGGGTCTTTAACTGCACGTTTTTACAGCTGTGGAAACAGAGACAATATTCATGGAGGATGCATCTGCTTTTCTAGACCTGGTGGTATGGAAGCATGAGCTGTCAGAGAAGGGCCAGCAACGTGGACATGGAGCAGCAAGTGCAACGGCTGAGAGTAGCAGGGTGAGGTGGAAAGGGTGAGCTCACACTGTGGATGGCCGTGAACTCACACTCTCTGGTATAATGGAAGTCACTGGAGATTTTCACACTGTTGTCTAATAACACGAAGACACAGCATGCCCTTAATCAGGACCACTGGAATGCTGACCATTCTTACCCGGCATGCTCAGCAGACAGACACATGCCGAATCGTTTGGTGCCAGTTTCCATACATCTTCTTATCATAAGCCGATAGCGGGGCTCAAAGACATGGAGCGGGCAGGGGACCGTGGGGAAGGCCATGGCACACACGAAGATGGGCACGTCCCTGGTCAGACTGCAGAGCAAGGGGAAATGTTAACTGAGATGTGCGAGAAAGACAAGGGTGGACTGGTTACCAAACAGCACTTGATCCTGGTCCTCTCATCTTGAAAACAAACCCTTCAGTGTTAAGTGGGAAACAGAAGCCACAGTGCACAGTGTGAGAAAGTTCTCTGCTCATCCAGTGTCCTGCCAAGTCTATTTAATTGATGAGAGATAACATGACGCGTTATTATTACTTTATTTGGAAATAGAGTTAAAGCTTTTGACTACTCCAAAAAATACTAATCAGCAGGCACAGTGGTGCACACCTGTAATCCCAGAGGCTGAGGCAAGAGGATTACAAGTTCAAGGACAGACTCATAAACTCAGTGAGGCCCTAAGCAACTTAGTGAGACTCTGTCTCAAAATAAAAATAAAAAGTGCTGGGGATGTGGCTCAGTGGTTAAGCGCCCCTGGGTTCAAGTCCTAGTTTAAAAAATTAAAATAAAAATCAGGCAGGCACAGTAGCACACGCCTGTAATCCCAGTGGCTCAAGAGGCTGAGGCAGGAGGACCATGAGCTCAAAGTCAGCCTCAGCAATTTAGCAAGGCTCTAAGCAACTCATTGAGACCCTGTCTTTAAATAAGTATAAAAAGGGCTGGGGATGTGGCTCAGTGGTTAAGTGGTCATGGGTTCAATTCCCAGTACAAAAAAAAAAAAAAAAATTCTAATCAAAGCAAAAACTAGATAGTAGTCAAAAGCAATGAGTTTTAAATAGGAGGGTGTAAGAATGGTAAGATCTTTACTATCTTCTTGTTCTATGAACTTTGTCTTTTCACTTTGGAAAAATTCAGTGTCATATTTCTTTAGATACAAAAGCAACTACATAATTTCGTGTTACAGAATTACTACAATATTTTGTATTACTACATAATTTTTCTTATAATTCCTTGCAATATATTTCCACAAATATTTTGCAATTAGCATCCATCCCATTTATAGACCAAGAAACTTCTCTGCCACAAACCAACCAACCAACCAGAATCCAAGGCAAAGCTGAGGGTAACAAGCATTTTTTTCTTTAATCTGAATTTAAAAGCAGGTAGATATAGCATGAGTACTTACTGTGATAGTTCCAACATTTCTTCATCATAAATCCTCTTCCTATCCGTCAATTCATCCGATAAATATTGGAATATTAATTCTTCAGCCAGAATAGTTATATTAAAATTTCTGCTTGCCAACAACTGTAGGGGAAAAAAGTTAAATGATACCAAATGTTAATTAATTCTAGAGGACCAAACCATCCATGTCTGAAGGTCAGTAGGGAAGGGGAAGGATAGAGTCTCTGGGAAGACAGAAAGGACATTGGGTCAGCCTGTGATAGGGCAGAGGTAGCCTCTCCATGTAGGAATAGGACAGGGATAGGTAGACTACAGGAAGAACAAGGCACCTCCAATTCTGATGGCATCTACACTGTCAATCAAAAACCATGTTAATGAGAAAAAAGGAAGGAGAGGGTGATATGTTGGGGAAAGAAAAATATGAAATAAGCATCACCTTGGAAAACGGAAAACTGAAGTTACTTGAGAAAAATATTAGGAACGTCTCCTAATGTTCTGAATCCAAATGAAGACTGAGAATTCAACCTCTGTTTTAGTCAGCTTTTCACTGCTGTGACTAAAGGATCTGACCAGGACAACTGTAAGCAGGATACGTTTATCTGAGGGCTCCTGGTTTCAGAGGTCTTAGTCCACAGAAGGCGGCTCCAGTCCTCGGGGCTCCAGGTGACGCAGAGCATCATGGTGGGAGAGTGTGGCAGAGGGAAGCAGCTCACATCAGGGAGCCGAGAAGCTCCACTCTCCAGATGCAAATATATGCCCACAGCCACACCCCAATCCCACCCCACCACCTCAGTTAGTCCCACCAGGGATTCACTACTGATTAGGCTTAGGCTATAACCCAATCATTTCTCCTCCATACCTTCTTGCCTGATCTCACATGTGAGCTTTCCGGGGACTCCTCACATCCAGACCATCACCACCCCCATTCCCAATCTTCCCAAGGTTCTCCAGCCCCGGCGTGTTCCTCATTAGGACTCACGCAAAAGGCGAAGAGTCGGCTTAATCTGAATGGGGAGAGGAGTGAGGGACGGAGGAGCTGGAGCTGGCCGTAAAGGGAAGGCAGGTGGCGATGAGTAAGAGAGTGCCAGGGTCAGTGGGCTGGAGGGTCACTGTGCGACTCAGCAGCTGTCACCCTGTGATGGGCACATACGCTGCACTGCTTCACTTCAGGCAAATGCGCAGAAAGCCCACGGCTCTTTCCGCCAGCACTCTCGTACACACCAGGTACGACTCCAGGAGCCTCAGAGAAACCAGGTGCGTTCTCCCAGGTGTTCTCCCTGCTGCACTGAAGCAGCCGGTCTCAGCAAGGTGAAGGGGCTAGTGCAGGGCCTCGCGGCACAGCAAAGGCCCAGGCCTGGCAGGCCGTGCTCTGCATATCTGGACGTGGGCTGGCTCCACAGACCGCTAACACCCTAAGTCCCGGACAGTCCCAGACACACCACTCGGTCCCTGTTGCCTTGGGTGAAATGAGCTGAGTTTCCATAACTGACCGTGAACTAGGAGCTCAACCTCCAGAGATGACCGACTGAGCACTACCACGACCTGGGAACTGGGAGAAACCAGTTCCACTTAACTCACAGACCCGTCATTAGGAAGGACATAAGTGTTTCATAATTCACATTTTATAAGCCAGTAGTCTGTGATATCCTTTTATTGAAGAATAATGCGATAAAATTTGCTTTACTTGGTACTACGTTAACCAAAACTTCTGCAGAGCCGTATATATCACAGATGATTCATTTTTATAATAATTCATGCAAGGAAGTCAGAGCTCAGGAAGTGACCTCTGCTTTGAAAAAAGATCAGATTATGATTTTAAATTCTAGTTTGGGTATTATATTCTAATTTCTGGAACACTGGATATCTGGATAGCTGTATATAACCACTCATTCACACATTCAACAAAGATTTCTGAGGCTCTAATATATGTCTGGGTCTCTGGAAATATGGTGCAAAAAAAGAAAGACAAAGTCTCTTCCCGGCAAGGTGGTGCACACCAGTAATCCCAGCAGTTTGGGAGGCTAAGGGAGGAGGATCTCAAGTTCAAAGCCAGCCTTGGCAACTTATCAAGGCACTAAGCAACTCAGTGAGACCCTGTCTCTAAATAAAGTATAAAAAAAGGCTGGGTATGTGGCTCAGTGATTGAGTGCACCTGAGTTCAAAAGACAAGACAAGACAAGACAAAGTCTCTGTCCTTAAGGAGCTTACATTTTAGTTCCAATCTCCAGGCACTACTTCACACAGGCCCCTACAAGGCAGTGTTAAATGTGGAGATAATAAAGGTCTATGCTACAAGTGGTGGCCACAGAGGTATACATTTCACTCTCATGATACCAGGACACCAGGCTCCCAGCTCAGGGAAGAAGGGGTCCAATAAGTCATCAGGGCAAATGCTTCTGTTCACTGGAAGAGACAGCAATCCCAGGGGGAGGACTTCAAGGGACCCACCTAAGGAACCTTTCATGTAGACTCAACGTACCTAGCGCCATGACACACTGTGCATGGTACAATGATTGCTATTCATAACGAGAACCCTGAGGGATTTGGATTTAGTATGCATGCAATTTAACAAAGTATGTATATATGATTTAGAAAGGTTTCAATTATAACATTTTAACAAGTTTTGGCAGTAAATTAAAAAGTTGCAATTATCTAAAAATTGGCTTCAGTATAATATCTACTCTTATCATGTCAGGTTTTAAAAAATGAATTTTGGGGGCTGGGTGTCGAGCTCAGTTGTAAAACGTATACGCTTAACATGTGTGAGATCCTGGGTTCCATCCCAAATAAGAGTGGGTGGGGAGAAGAAGAGAGGGAGAGAGGAAAAAAATAGAGAATCTGGACGTCTATGAAAGACAAAAGCAAAACTTTATCCTACCTAAAAATGCATGTAAAAATCTCTGGGAAGCAATAACGGCAAATATTCTATTCTTAGTCCCTTTGCCACCCCAAGCGGGTAAATAACGTGCTCCATGTAGAGCAGTGGCTCCCTGAGGACCACCATTGGACACAATGATTAGAGTCACTCTTTAAGGATGCGATCAGGAGACCGTCAGCTTTGAGATACTCTCCGTTTGCTCCCATTCCTAATGTAAATGGATTTAATAGCTTCTGTTGGGTTAAATATCATTAAACAGCTTCCCTGTAGACTCTTTAAGTGTTGCTGGTTTTGATTTCCAACCAAAGACTATGACAATTGACAGATGGTGAGGGCACTAAGGGACTGAGGAACAGTCAGAAACCATCAGTTCTTCCCCCCACACTGAACTCTCGTGAGGAGGCTGGGTAGAGCACGCCCGCACGCGCCGAGGGCTCACGATCTTATCCTGACCATTTAGTGAGCATGCCGTGGGGGCTCAGAGATGTTAGCTATCCTGTTCAGTCTCTGCCAACTGTAATTTCTGCCTGAAAATTGCCTTGAAATCGAGCTGTTTCTACATCTAACCCTTCCTTGCATTTTTTTTGATTAATCAAAGAGGTGAAAAAATGTCATGTCACTGATTAGAAACATCTGACGTTCTTTAGGTAGGAGCAAAGCGGGACGGGAAATGGATCTACCAAAGGACGGGAGGAGAAGCAGCCTTGCGTTTCACAAACTGTACCTACTTCCGAAAGCTTGTCCTTGCACAGCGGACAGTGTGGGGCATGGTCAAGGCAGCGCTCCAGGCATTTGAGGCAGAATGTATGTCCACAGGGCGTGGTGACAGGCTCAAAGAGCAACCTGGAAAGAAACACGGGGGTTTTCAGCAGAACCGTCCAAAAGAGACATTCCAACCGTCTGTTTTAGAAGGGAGCCCCATGCAGTTCCTTTACTGTTCTGGAGGTCATATACGTCCATTTCCATCTTCTGCATTGAGTTTTTAGAAAAACAAATCAATCGTGAGTTAGGTAAAAATCATTTCCTTAGTAAAACAGCCTACTGCATTTTGGTGTAAGACTTTGGGAGGCTGAATTGTTTAGAGAATGACATAGATTCTACACCATCCTACCTCATGCAAAGGGCACACTCAAAGTCAGTCACATCAATCGGGAGCTCTGGACCTTCTCCTGTCTTAGAGTTCACATTCTTTTCAGGTGAGGCATCTGCATCTGAAAAATTTAAAAACGGTTTCATTAAAACCCTAAACATCTGAACAACAGCATCCTCTGGGAGTATCTCCCCTGGACACGATGTATGACATCAATGTAACCAACCATGCCGGGCAGGAATGTTTCTGTCTAGTTAGTAGACAGCAATCATTTATCTGCACTGTAAGCATGAACGAATGTTAAAATTATACCTAAGTTTTCTGGCTATTTTGGACTACAAAGGCCTTGCCATCTAAAAATGTACTACACCTCAGAGCAGATAATCATTTCATTGTTAATTTTACCAGTGTAGAATTAATCAAAAACTAATGCCCTACCGTTTTGGATTATATAACATGATGAGAACACAGCCTACCGACCTTTCTTAGGAATTTTTCCAGGGGCACTAAGTTCACGGGCATCCTCCGTATCATCCGGATGCTGTCTCTTTAAGCCCGTGCTGGGTTTCTCTGGCAGTAAGCTTTCTAATGTTTTCTTGTCCTCTTCAAAGTGTAGACCCAGTATAAAATACAAGACCGAAGAATTGGCATTTCGAAATACATCAGTTTTCTCAGATGCATTCTGGTTAAATAGGAAAAAAAAAGAATCCTAAATATTCACGATATCATAGCATAGAAGGAATAAATCATGCAGGAATCTGTCTTAGAACCCTTTGGAAAACGAGAGTTGAGACTATCCCTTCAAAATCAGTTTCATTTATCAACTAATAAGAGGATCTTTGCACTTTTATGGTAAAATACAGGATAGTTTCTTTGAGGCCCAATGAATGAACACCACTCTTCGTTTACATGTATATAACATATACACATAAGATAAATAAATCATATATCACAAATTCAAATCATCCCTCTGCTTTCTTTGCTCCAAACCAAAATAACCCCAGGCTCAGGTCTCCTGGTGTTTTGGTTGTCTGAAAGCTTTTGCAGAGTTTCTTCCATTCAATCTTCAATCGCTTTCATTATTTTTGTTGACATTTAAAAGTGTTAACTCTTGGGCTGAAGAGCTACGCTGCTTTCGTGAAACTTTTTTTTTTTTTTTTGATACCAGGGGTGCTGAACCACTCAGCCACATCCCCAGCCCTTTTAACATTTAGAGACAGGGTCTCACTGAGTTGCTCAGGGCCTCACTAAATTGCTGAGGCTGGCTTTGAACTTGCCATCCTCCTGCCTCAGCCTCCCATGAAACACTTCTAACCAGTGTGACGCCGCGACGTCCAAACACCCTGTGCGGTGTCTAATCGGGAATCTGATGGACATGAGCTTCCTACCTCAGGACTCCCTGAGTTACCACCTTCTGCGGACTGTGGTGGCAGCGGCTTGTTTTTCCGGCCACGACACTGAGCCTTTGCTCTGCTTTGGATGCAAGCCTTGGTGTGCTGACGTACGTTTTCTGAAGGTGGAAAAAACACCTCACACACTGCCTATAAAATTGCCAAGGAGAGAGAGAGAAGTACTGTAAAATACTTCTAGAAATATACGTAACATGTTTTAAAGATTCAAAGGAACAGTGCAGCCAAACAGGCCTAGAATGTTGAAAAGAAATCATTACCTTATTCCTGGTCAACCTTTTAAAATTCAAACGTTTTTGAAATCACCATGTTTCAAGCATTTCAGCTTCTAATCCTTCTCCATTCTAGCCTTACAAATGATATAATATGAGATCATAACTTCCTTTTGTCTGGTCCTTACATACCCCTACTACATAAAAACTCCCCTAAAACTCTCACAGATAAGAGAAAAATGCAGTAGAGGGGCTTCCGAGGGGTCACATGTTAATCTAAGCTGTGACCAGCTATGGGACTGAGACATAAATAGACGACAGCTCTATTTATGACAGAACCACTAGAGCAGCTGGGAAAGCAGGGGAGGTAGAGGGCCATCACTCCGGCTCATGAGCCAGGGGCTAGCACTGGGGAAGGAGAGGGCAGGGGCTGCCGGTTAGGCATTCTGAGTGACACCTCGTGGTTCTGCCAAACCCTGTGATCTCAGCTGAATCCAATGGCTTCAGGGAAGAAAGACAAGCGAATGCAACCTAAACAAAGCCCCCTCCCAAAGTTCTTCATGTTATAAGGCGAGTGCACCAGAATCGACGACTTCTGTTATGGTCCAGATCTGAAATGTCCCTCAAAAACTCCTGTGTTGAAAGCACAGTCCCCAATGCAGCAGGGTGCAGGCGGGGCTTTTAGGCACATAATTAGCAGAGTAATTGCCAATGGATGAATCCACTGGTAGCTGAATGGACTCCTGGGTGTTAACTGTAGGCAGATGAGGTGTGGCTATAGGAAGTAGGTCACTGGGGGGCATGGCCTTGGGGATTATAGCTGACCCTGGCGCTTTTCTCTCTCTCTCTCTCTCTCTCTCTGTTTCCTGGATGCCAGAGCTGAGCAACTTTCTTCCATGATGTGCTGCCCATACCTAGGCCCAGAGCAATGGAGTCCGTGGAACATGGATGGAGACCTCTGAAACCATAAACCAAAATAGGCTTCTGCTCCTCTAAGTTGTTTTTGTCAGATATTCAGGTCCCAGTGACAAAAAGCTAACATAATCTCTTAGCAGAGAGCAGCTGCATCCTCAGCAAGGCCTCGGGTCCTACCTGGCCCTGAGTGGCTTCAGCAGACCTGCTAGGGGTGTGAATATATTTCACGGGCATCGATGGGCTAATGCTCTTTTGACATCCCCCACCATGGTGTGCCCACAGGGGAAACCCCCACGTCTGAAAAAGCAATGGGAAGATCAGGGTCCAAAGACCGAGTTCTGGCTCCGGGAGCTCTGTGAACATGCTTCATCTCACTGCGCTCGGGCTGCCATCTCTGCCTTGCTTGTGTAAGGATCAGCAGGGAGAAGACAAGCTTCAACTTCTGATGACATCTGTAGGTGGGAGACAGCTGGCAGGGGTAGCTGAAATCACCAACTCAAGATTGAACATCATTCTGACAAGTTAGAACAACGGTCAGAACCCAGCAAGTGAAAACTGAACGGGATGAACCAACACCACTCGACTGCCCTTGGAAAAACAGATAAAAATGTTTCTAGAAAGTTCTTATAAAAAGAAAACCACAGACCTAGATCCTTGTGGCTTCCTACATTTCTCATAGGAGCCAATGGGGATGCTGTCAGGCTAAAAACAAATATGCCTCACCCCCTGTCCCTGTCCTGTGTGCATGCTCAAATCTGGAGAACGTCAGAACACATCCAGGAGGAAACCCTCGTGACCTTGTTCTAAGAGTAAAGGAGGCTTGGTTCAAAGAATGATTTAGGGCAAAGAAAATAGCTCTTCTCAAATATCTAGAGTGGTCTGAGCTATTGAAAGAAGAACTGATTTATTTTATGTTGCTCCAGAAAACAAAACCAGAACTGCTAGGTAGAAACTACAGGGTAAATACATGGTCGATGTTCCCAGGAGTGTTAAAAATAGAGACAGGCTGACATCGAACAAAAACTCTCAGGCCCTGGAGGTGCTAAGTAAAGGCCAGGGCACCAGTGTGCAGGCTGTTAACAGCGTGGATTCCTACCTAAAGTGTGCTCGGAGACGAGCAGAAGAGCACGTACTCCTGCATTATGCTGGTGAGGCAGAGCTAGAAATTACAGGCCAACCTCTGGAGCTGAACTGGTCTATTTTACATATCTCAGGATGTCTTCATAGGACTTCTGCGCAAGTTGTGGTACTTGAAATTGGAAATTCTAGGAAACAGCACTTTGCCTCCCCGGCTCCAAATGGTCACCTAGCCTCATCTCCCGTGGGCCGTCATTGCAACACTACACAAGCACACCGTACATCGTCCCAATAAATGGAACATCTAATTAGAAGCTGCCAGATGCACGAGCCTCATCATCATTATTACTATGTTTCTAATCACATTGTCCAGAACATTTGGAATTACACCTTCCGGTTTATTTCAAATGCAAGGGTCACCCAGCATGGACCCAAGGCTACAGACAGGACTTCCAAGAGAAACTCACTTATCAGAACTCATACCTTCTGTGCCTCTTTCTTCATTGTGCTACAATCAGGATTTAAAGCAAGGCAGTAGAGATATTCCTTCAACACTTCCTCACTTCTTCCCAGTGCACAAAGAGCCTGAGCTTTTATGTGGTGCCCCTGCATGGACCAAGAGACAGAGCAGACATGTACAACACAACCAGCATGAGTATACACATTTGAATACAGACAGCTCTGCAAAAAAAAATTGTTAGAATGACTTGTTTCCATTTCACAAACCCACCTTGGAAATCTGGCAAACTGCGATGTCTCATAAATACAATTTACAATCAGAACACAAGAATCACCATATTTGGAATTTGCTGCTTACAGCAGTTCTAACGGACATGCTACGAGAGAACTGGTCTCTGTTAGTTTTTTTTTAATTAATTTTACTTTTCATTAATGTAATACTGCTACTGAGCTGGTGAGAGCTTCTTGCTCCTCAACTTCGTTGCTGGAAGGTGCCTGGTCTACTCGGCTGACATCTACTGAGGAGGATTCTGGGGCTAGAAGCCCCAAGAGCAGGATGTCAGGGCCCTTATTCAGGGACTTCGGGCAGCCAGGCTTTCTTCCCCCGTGGTCTGTCTAGATTCTCTGGGTGAGAAGGCCCTGTAATGTGTGTGCCGCCACTGCCCTGTGTGACAGGGTGATGAGACACCGAGGTGAACCTCCATACTCACTCCCATCCTCAACACCTAGCTCCTTTCCAGAGCTCCTCCCATGCCGTGAGCTCAGCTTCCGTCTGAACTGGAATGTCCTCGGCTCTTCCATACACTCATCCATGTTTGAAAAAGAAATCTGTTGAATTCCCTTATTCCATAAATATTCCCCATTCTCTCTGTTCATGAGCTTACTCTTGTTTATACTTCCTGTCACACTTTCCCTGAGGGACGATTTTATAGTCAGTAAACCCCACCAATCTTAAATGCTCAATGTGACAAGTTTTGATAAATGTGTGTGGTTGTAGAACCATTAACACTCGTCAGACAGCACATTTCCATCACCCCCAACATTCTCTCCTGCCATCTGCAGTGGGTCCCCTCCCCTGGACAGACCTAGTAGCCACTGACCTGTCATTCTAGTTTTGCGTTTTTGAGTATTTCACACGAATGGAACCACAATGCTGTCTTTTGTGTGCCTTTCGTGACTTGCTGTGGCCCTTCTGAGACCAACCGTGTTGCTATGTAGATCCACATATCATTTTTTCTGTCCAGCTAAGCAGTATTCCACTGTATGGATGTACCATGATTTGTTTAGTTGCATGTTGATAGATATTTGGTTTATTTTTGTAGTCTTTGGCTAATATGAATTAAGCTGCTATGAACATTTGCACGTCTTTGTGTTCGTTTTTTTTTTTTTTTTTTTTTAACTCTCTTGGGAAAATATTTGTAAGATTGATAGGTCTCACAGGAAGAGTATGCTTAACTTAAAAAAAAAAAAAAATCTGCCCAGTGGCTCAGGAGGCTGAGGCAAAAGGATTGCAAGTTCAAAGCCAGTCTCAGCAACTTAGTGAGATCCTAAGCAACTGAGCAAGACCCTGTCTCAAAATCAAAAAAAAAAAAAAAAAAGGGCTGGGGATGTGGCTCAGTTGTTAAGCACCCCTGGGTTAAATTCCTGGTATCAAAAACAAACAAATCTGGGGCTGGGATTGTGGCTCAGCCGTAGAGCGCTCACCTCGCATGGGCAGGACCCGGGTTCGATCCTCAGCACCACATAAAATAAAGGCATTGTGTTGTGTCCATCTACACCTAAAAAATAAATATTAAAAAAAATCTACTAAACCTTTCGAAACCAACTGGATAATTTTCTATTCCCACTAGTGATGTATAAGAATTTGGTTGGTGGACTTCCTTGGCCTCGTTTAGTGTGGTCAGTCTTGTTAGCTTAAACCTGTCTAGTGGGTCTACAACAATATGTCACTGAGGTTCTAATTTGCATTTCTCTGATGACTAATAATGCAGGGCATTTTTTCATGCATTTATTTTATATTCATATGTCTTTTTTGGTAAAGGATCTGCTTAAATACCTTGCCCATTATTTAAAATTGGATTATCTGAATTATTACTAAATTGGTAAAATTTCTTTGTATTTACTAAAATCAACTCCTTTATCAAATAAATGCCTTGCATATATTTCTGTCTATCTTTGTTTGCCTTTTCACTTTTCTAATAGTATCTTTTGAAAGGCCAAGAGTTTTAAAATTTGATTACCAATTTACCATTGGGGCTTTTTTCTTTTTTTAATGATGTGTGTTTTCTGAGTCCTTTTTATTGATTTCTCTTCTTACATTTATTTCCTTCCTCTTCTCCTACTTTCTTAACGTGGAAGATTAGATCACTGCTTTGAGAACTTTCTTCTTCTTTAAGAAGCACTAATATTATAAACTTCCCCCCTAAGAATGGCTTTAGCTGCATTTCAGAAATTCAATGTTATCATCATTTGTGTTTAATTATTTACTCCTTTCCCTTTTGTTTCTGTTTGGTCCCACAGATTCAGAAGTAAGTTGAAGATGTTTAAGGATCTCCTAGATGTTTTATTTTTGAAATAAAATAAAACGATAAAATTGCTCTTTAATTCTGTTTTCAGAGAGCATTCTCTTTAAGATTTCGATGCTTTGAAATTTATTGATACTTTTTTTTTTTACTAGCACTGGGATTCCATAAGCATTACGAGGCACATGCAGACTGCAACTGAGTGTAACGTTCTACAAACATCAATTAGGTTAAGAGGGTAGATAACGCCATTCAGAGTTTATCTACATTAACTAAAATTTCGATTTAGTGAGGATATCAATACTGGTCAAAGTATATTAAATTCACTTAACTCTGACTGTGTACTTATCTAAGATTTAAAATTTTCTGATGCCCTGTTATTTCATGTGTGTGTGTACATATATAATTGTTGTATTGATCCTCTTATTGTAAAGTTTCCCTAAAATATTACTTTACATCTCTAGTAGTACCCTTTGTTACTAATACAGTTATCTCATCTTTGTACTTTTTGTGTTTGCATGATATATTTTTGGAGCCTTTTAAGTCTATTTGTGTCTTTGCATCTAAGATGAATTTCTGGTAGAAGGCAGTCTGACTTTTTTTTTTTTTCCTTCTACTTTGAATTTGCTTTTCCAATGTCAAATGGTTTCCATGGTTTCAAATGAGATGTCAACCATCAGTCTGGTTATTTCTCTTGTGCCATTATTCTCATCTCATGTCAGTTTTCTCTTGATGCTTCCAAGACTTTCTTTTAATATTTGCCTTACTGCACAGCAGCTTGATTATCATTTGAGTTTATCTTGCTTGGAGTTCATGCTTATCTTGCTGGCTCGGAAATTAACAATTCTCACTAAATCTGGAAAGTTTTCAGCCATTATTTCTTTGAACTTTTTCCCTGCCATTGCCTCTCTTTTCCCCTGGGGGTTCCAGGTGCACATGAACTACACACTTGACATTGACCCACAGGCTTCTGAGATTCTTTCCATTCTTCTTTACTCTTTTCCCCCCTTTTCGGTTCTTTGGACTGGGAAATTTCCATGTATTTACCCTCATTTTCATTGATACAGTTGTCATGTATGATGTGCTTTTGAGCCTGTCCAGCAACTTTGAATTTCAGAATCCATAATTTTCATCTTTAGAATTTCCTTTTTTTTTTAATGGTTCAATTTCCCCACTGAAATTGCTGTTTTATAAAAATATATTTTCCTTCTACTCTTTCGATATAATTTCATTTGACTCTTTGATCTCATTTATACAGAATAAACATCCCTAACAAAAAAATTTTAAATTGAAAATGCTCCAATAAAATGCTGACAAAGTTTTTCAGCACTGATATGATGCCACAGGTAGAAAATTCCACACCGTGCAACTTTGCTTTGTGTATAGAGTCATTTAAAATCTTATATAAAATCACCTTCACGCTGTATCCATAAGGAATATATAAAACTAATTTTGAGTTTACACTTTGGGTCCCATCCCCAAGATACTTCATTATGTATATGATAATATTCTAAAATTGGAAGATATCCAAAATTGGAAACAATTCTGGTCCCAAGCATTTTGGATAAGGGATACTCAATCTGTAAAAGCTGTTCCTAGGTAAATATAATATCTGGGCCCACTTAATTTTTATTGGCTTTTATCTTAAGTCAACACTTTCCTGTTTCTTTTTGTGTCAAACATTTTTTAGTTGAAACAGGACATTGTACCTATGTTGTATTAACAACTTCTGCACTTTGTCATTTCTTCTGAGTGTTACTGGGTTGTCACAAAGGGCGATTAACTTTTCTGGATTCCCCCACAAACTCTATGTTCCCACGCTGTGGCTTCTCTCTCTGCTCTGTTCTGACTTTCCCCTGCTCCTTTTTAAGGCTTGCAGTTCGTTCCTCCCCTATGTCTAGGAAATTGGGCAATCAACCAGGATTTGGCCAGAGTTGGAACTTAGCCATTCTGAGATTTTTTTTTCCTCTCTTCTTATAGGAGTTTCCCTAATTTCTAGCTATTCTGGCAGATTTGAGTTCTTTACTGACATTTCAGTCTTTGTCTTGTCTGAGCTGTGTGCTACTCCTCATTTAAGACACTCACTGAACATGGGAAGGGGGACCCTGTCACTCTGGCTTTTTTGCTGTGCCCTCTGCACCTCTCACATGCATGCGCAATTTAGCTGTGAGTCATATTTATATTTTGAATCTATCTCACTTGCACAGTTGTTTTGCTAAGAAAATTTCCCCCTTTCCACTTCCTTTCCCCCTGTTCCACCAGGCATTTCCAGTTGAAGTACTGACCTTGAAGTCCCCAGAACTCTGAGAGTTTTAGGTGGTAATGTTCAGAGCTTGTCCACTGTTGTCTTCTAGCTGCAGCTACAGCCAAAAAGCCATGAAATCACAATTTCTTATCCCTTCCAAACTCAAGAGTCTTTGAGACTCAATTATCCTGCTGTTTGGATACTTTACAATATTCTTTCTTTTTCCAGTCCAATTTTTATGATTTTTCTCTCTTCTGTGCTCACATGACGTCTTCATTTTTTTGTGGTTCCCAGAAGTAGGTAAATCATCTTTTCCCTCTACTGTCATTTTACGTGGGTCCCTTGGGAGGGAAAACAATAAGGGATGCACATCCATGGCCGCCTCTTCATCCTTATCCCTGCACCAAAACGTCTAACACACTAGTGGCAACTAACGGCCACCAAGAGTCTGTTTTCAGGTTCCTATCCACCTGGCTTCTTTCTCCACTGTCTGAATACCATGACTGTGCTGACGGTGACCCATCCTACCTCCAGCATCAACCGTGCCTAACACCCCGTAACTGTCCACTCATTACATCACAAGTCTGAGTTCTCTGGGAGAACAGCCATTTCAAAAGCGACCACAAGGGGTCGGGGTTGTGGCTCAAGTGGTAGTGCGCTCGCCTAGCATGTATGAGGCACTGGGTTCGATCCTCAGCACCACATAAAAATAAAATAAAGATATTAAAAAAAAAAGGAGCCATGACGAATATTTTGGACAACAGATTGTTGAGAGCCACAGCCGAAGGGGCCCCAGCAAACTTCCAGCTGCCAGCTGATTGGCTCCTCTGCAGTGATGCTCTTTGGGCTGTTTCCCTGCCCTTTCAGACCAGGGAGCTACTCATTGGGGGACTTTTTTTGGCTCCACCCACGTGACCCAGCCAATCGGCCTCATTAGCAGGAGGAGTGGGGGAGGTGGAGAGGCTTGTGGGAAGCCAGTGGTGGCAGTTGGGCTCTGAGGGAATTCCTGAAGAGCTCCTGTGGTGTGGTGTGTGTGTTCTAAAAATAAAGTTCCTCTCTTTTGACAAGTGGCTCCTGAATTGTGCCCAGCCAGACTGTGGCAACAGGTCGTGGGCTTCATCCCTGGGCTCTCTGGGATCTCACAGATGCACCAGAGGCCAGTTACAATTCATTTATGGAACTTTTTAGCCCTTGAAAGTTTACCGATTATCATATTTTTCCTTTCATAAGAATGGATTTTGTAGAGTCTGAATCTTACATAATTTGTAAGGTTTTTTTTTTTTTAGTTATATATGGACACAATATCTTTGTTTATTTATTTTTATGTGGTGCTGAGGATCAAAGCCGGTACCTCACATATGCGAGGCAAGTGCTCTGCCACTGAGCCACAACCCCAGCGCCTTTAAGGTTTTTTTAAGGAGAGGTATAAAATTATGAATCCGATGTTGCTGAAGCCCCTCTGAGACCATATACAAGTAAATGGCCTGACTCAAGTATCAGAAGTTTCTAAATCTGTTCATTCTACTTATCAAAGTTTCTTTGAGAATAATCCTCTTACATACACAAGGAACTTCACAGTGAAATGTTCATACACACACACATCACCTCAATCAATATGTACATTCTTGATACCTTGTATCAATAAATACTTATAAAGTGAATGAATGAGTTTTTCAATAAATTTAGGTAAGGTTTAATTTAAGGTCTTATAGCCTTTTTGCCTGGTAAAATCAAACCGATCATGTGCCTATTATCTATTTCTGCAAGTGGGCAAATGTTTTCTGGCTCAGGCTTATCCAGTTACTCCAAAAAGCCTTGAATCGTTACCCATGAATATTAGCCATGACTGGCTGTGTGGAAGGGTTTTACTTGAATGAGCACCCTCCTGTAACATTTCCCCCAGCTGGAAGCGGGAAGGTGGTTCTAAAAGTTTTCCATCTAATCTTAATCATGCTTGGTCAACTTATTCTTCCCCTCAATCCACTTCCTTGCTGTTGACTACTCGATTACCACCACTTCAACTGAACTTCCATATCACTCCCGTAATCCTCAGTTATAACAACACACTTTGGAACAAAATTCTTTCATTTGTTGTTTTAAAATGATTTGTTAGGATACGTTTTTGCTGAAGCTGTTATCCATCATGCATTGATGAAGAACTGAGGTCTATAGATTTGCAATAAACCCTGAAGATCTGGCCACAGTCTCAAACATTAAATATTCATCGGCTGCCTCCCTTAAAGTTTCACTTAGCCATGAAACTTTGCAGTAACTAACTCTCTCTCTTGCAGGAGACACACTGCCAAGTTTTTAGCTCAAAGAACAATACTGTGGGGGAAAACTACCTTCAGAGGTCAATGCAGGTCTATTGTCAGGAATACTCAGAATTCATAATTAAGATTCGGTCATTACTTACAGAAATTGCCTCAGAAGAATAGTAGTGGAAAGAGACCAGGGAGATGTTAGTCAAAGAATACAAAATTTCAGCTAGGAGATTGTTCAAAAGAGATTTAGTATAACACAGTGACTATAATTATTAACATGTTTCACCCTTGAAAATTCCTGAGAAAACAGATTTTAGGTATTCTCACTACAAAAAATAATGTCGGGTAATGCATGCATTAATTTTGCCTGAGCTAGCCATTTTACAATGCATTTTTCAGAAGAACATGTTATGCCATGAGTATATACAATTTTCATCTGTTAAAATAAATTTAAAAATAGTAGGTCAAGAGAAGGAATAAGAGAAAAAGCATCAGAAATAAGAGTAGAAAATGTTCTTAGGAAAGCAAGCAAGCAACAAAATAGGCTTCTAGGCTTAATCCAATGAACATTTGCTCTCATCCTTGGGCTCATCCCAAAGCCCAACTTTACTCTCAATTTAATCTAAAACATTTTGTTTTAAAGGATTTTGGCAAACAGGAAAGGAAGAAGAGAGGAGAGGTAGGTAAGATGGATGGATGGATAGACACAACTTGTCTCCTAACTGGGGCTAATATCTCTTTCATGTTTCTAAAGCAAAGATGATTTTAAAAGTAATAGATCAGAAGAATAAATAGTTTTAATTATCAGTTCACAAATAGAGTATGTTATAGGTATTAATTTCATCACAAGCTCTTTTAAACTTTAAATTTTCTCATAGGGGTTCAAATTTCAAAGATCCACGAAAAAAAGACAAAGACTAAAATTAGTCCAGAAAGCACACAAAATGTTATGTCTTTCACTAACACCATTGATACGCTCATACGTATATTAGGGACTGTAATTTTAAATATTTTTATTATTTGGCTTCATAAATTTAAGTACAATTTAAGCTATCACTATTCGATTAGCAAAGTTCATTTTGTGTCATCAAAGGAAGAAATCTCATGCCTTTCCATCAAAAAGCACAAAGACTAAAATTAGTCCAAAAAGCACACAAAACGTTAGTTCTTTCACTAACACCACTGATATGCTCACACATATATTAGGGACTGCAATTTTAAATAGTTCTTCTTCATTCACAATTCATCATCTCCAAAGCCAACCAAGATAAATCACCTTAGTCAAGAGAGGTTCCTTCTGACAAACTATCCCAGAATCCTGCAGGGCCTGCTCATAGTTCCTCATGGTTAAATGCAAATCTGCTCGCAGCAGCAATAATGAGGTATCATCAGGAGCTGGAAGACAGGAGGAATACAAATGAGTGAAAAGGACTGAAAACAAATAATCCTTCAGTCATCAAAAATGTTAAATCACAAAAGCAGCATAAAGACAAAATAAGAATAATTCCTCTCTCCGGTCCTATTTAGAATTTAATGGTTTGATGAGTATTAATTTACAGAACTTCTCTCAGGAAAACAGTAACAAGACGTCAAAACACCGCCCCCCCCCCCCGCCAAAAAAAAAAACAACCCAGACTAATGATGAGTATTCCTGCACACACACTACATCATCTCCAGTAAGAGACCCAAGGACCAATGAATCATATATATATATATATATATATATATATATATATATATTTTTTTTTTTTTTTTTGTATAAGGGATTGAACTCAGGGACACTCAACCACTGAGCCACATCCCCAACCCTGTTTTGTATTTTATTTAGAGACAGGGTCTCACTGAGTTGCTGAGGCTGCTCTGAACTCATGATCCTCCTGCCTCAGCCTCCTGAGCCGCTGGGATGACAGTCGTGCACTGCTGCTGCAGCTTGAGCATCCCTATCCCCCATCCAATATGCTTTGAAATCTCAAACGTTCTGAGCGCTGACATGATACTCAAGAGTTTTGTATTTTGCAGTATTTCAGGCTTCAGATTTCTGGATTAGGGATGCTCAAGCAGTGAAGTCCATGCACATATTCCCAAATCCAAATCTGAAACCCTATGGACCCAAGCATTTTGGATAAGAGCTACTCAGCCTATAGTAATTAGGTATTTTATTTTTTTAACTATATATTTTTTAGTTGTGGTTGGACACAATACCTTTGCTTTATTTATTTATTTATTTATATGTGGTCCCGAGGATCGAACCCAGGGCCCTGCACATGCTAGGTGAGCACTCTACCGCTGAGCCACAATCCCAACCCATAATTAAATATTTTAAATGGAGATCTAAGATAACTTTCCTTGAAGTAGACAAGAAAATTCCTGCTTACGGAACAGAAAGGTAAGACCTAATTTGTTTTCTTACGTAACCTGTATGGACAGAAATTTACCCACATAACTGTACCTACGTCCAGCCCTCCTAAATTTGTTTTCTTAAGAGGAAAAAGGAGGGGCTGGAGATATAGCTCAGTTGGTAGAGTGCTTGTCTTGCGTGCACAAGGCCCTGGGTTCGAATCCCAGCACTACAAAGAAAGGAGAAAGGAGAACAAAAGCTTTCCTTCCCTAGATTCCGCATATAGAAGATACTGCAGCTGCCTTCCATGCCGCTGGCCTTGGCTCACGCCACGAGTCCACTCAGGATCACTGTGACAGGGCCACACCTGTGCCTGTCAGTTGGTCGATGGATATTCTAGTCACCTAAAATGTGTTCTCATCTCTCTACCTAACACACATCCTCAGTGTGCTCCAAATAGTTGACCTTGACCTTTTATCACTTGGATCTCCCCAACTGCTAGTATGCCTTCTTTCAGTTTATGTAGGTAAGCGAGCACATGTGTGTAAAAAAATCTTGTGCAAGAAGATGGCCCACCAAGACACAGTGAGCAACAAATATTAATAAATGTGTTATCGCCACATGTGTGCAATACGGAGAAGGTGTGGCAAGAAAAAAAAGGGAGATGGGGAAGGGACCGGCAGGAGTCAGATAATAAAATGTAAATTATTTTTTTTTTAAAAACACATTTCTTGGTATAGCTAACTGGCTGGAGCAGAAGTCAGCAACTTTTTTTTTTTTTCTGTAAAAGGCCAGATGATAAACATTTGAGGCTGTAGGACAAGAGAAAACTGGAGGATATTATGCAGGTACTTGTTTAACAAAAGAGAAAACAAAATTTTCAGAGTTAATTGATGAAATTCAAAATACAATAATATGTTTTGGTAATGTAGGTCTCCTGATGAGAAGAACAGTATCCCTTGTGGAGGAATAACATATTACTCAACTAGGGTTCATGGTTTGTATTCCCCATCATCAAAAGCAAGTGAAAATGTTCACCTGCTAATTATAATTCATGATGAGATTTTATGTGTTTTGACGTTGAAAATGCACAAAGGAACCACGAAATACACAAACATATGATTTTAAATTGAACATTTCTGTTGTCTGGAAGCCATTATAAAATTCTGTAAGATTCTTCTCAGGATTTTTGTCACAGTAGCATATCATAACTCACTGAAGATAATAACATCATTTCCATCCAAAAGATTAGGTAAAAGTTCCCCAACTGTAATTAAAGGAATTTGATATACAATTCTTCTTTGGAGATTTTGGAAATCTTTTAAAAAAAAATGCTACTCTAACTGTAGTTTGATCTTGGGAAACCTGCTGGGGATCTGTGCAGATAGCTAAAGTCTCTTACTAGCTCTAACATCTGCCAATGGATTCTCCTGAATTCTAACTAGGTGGGTCATATGCAAATGATAAACTTTGATTGTTCTATTTTAATATGTACAATCCTTATTTTATTTTACTCTCATGTTGCAATAATAGTGATAATGAACCCCACCCCACCCCCTTCTTTCTCTGTCTCTCTCTGCAATGCTGGGGATCAAACCCAGGGCCTTGTGCATTTTTTTCACTGATTTTAAAAATAACATGTCTAATTTGTGTGTGTGTGTGTGTGTGTGTGTAGGGGAGGTACTAAGGATTAAACTCAGAAATGTTTTACTACTAAGCTGCACCCCCAGACCTTTTTATTTTTTATGTTGAGACAGGGTCTTGCTAATTTGCTGAGGCTTGCCTCAAACTTGCAATCCTCATGCCTCCGGCTCCCTAGTAGCTGGGATTACAGGCATGTACCACCGTGCTCTTCTTTTTTGATGTTTACCATAAGCTTCTGAGAGAGAATACTAGTCAAGCTAGGTAAGTAGCTAAGCCCACAGCTTTTAGCCTGAGCTATTCCTAGTTTTCCAGAAGGGTTTTCTAACAAGAGGGTATTGAATTCTACAGATGGTCTTTCAGCATCTGATACATGTATATAGCATTATTTCCTTTGATCTATTGTAGTGAATTACAATGAAAGGTTTGTCTAATATTGAATTATCCTTATATTTCTAAAACACACTGCCAGACTTGAATACTAAGAAATTTAGGATTTCAGCATCCATGCACATATGAACTGCTATGCTATAAACTTTTTCCTGTCTAGTATCAAGATTATACCAACCTCATCAAATGAGATGGAACTCTTCCTATATATTTCTAGGATCTTAAATAAATTTGCCAATCAACCTTTGAAAGACTGTGAGAGCTTGCTGGGCCTCTGTGCCCTTTTAGCAGGAGAAGATCCCTGGGTAACAGTTCAGTGTGTTTTAGGTTATTGGTCCATGTCAGCTTTTTACTTCTTCCTGAACCAAATTTGATCATTTACATTTATGTCCTTCTATTTTAAGATCTGTTATAAACTTTTGTACCTTAAATTACTCTGCCTTCCGTTCCTGATGCTATCTGTGTTCCACTTCCTTCGTCACCACATGTGCCACACATTGGTCTCTTACTGGTCTTTGGCATGAGCCAGTTTCTGACTGGTTAACGAATTCCATTTTTTGTCTCATGATTTTCTTAATCATTCCTCTGTTTGTTTGAGCTTTGTGTTTGCTTAGTCTTAATGAAACATCCTGAGTTAAAAACACCTTTCAATTAGGTAGGTTAGCTTTCTATCACTGTGATAAAACATCTGAGAAAACCAGGGTAAGTGGAAAGATTTATTTTGCTCACAGCTTGAAAGGATTTCGGTCATGGTCGGCCAGCTCCATAGCTTTGGGCCTCAGGCAAGGCCAAATATCATGGCGGAAGGTGGGGGGTAGAGTAAAGCTGCTTACTTCATGGCAGCCAGGAGGCACAGACAGAGAGAAGGGGCTGGGGACAAGAGACATCTCCCTGGGGTGTATCTACCTACAACCTACTTTCCCAACTGGGCCTCATCTCCTATAGTTTCCAACATCTTCCAATAAAGCCATCAAATTATGGATCTATCAATGGATTGATCCACTGATGAGGTTAGAACTCTCAGGATCCAATCATGGTACACTCCACCTCTGAATGCTGTGGCCCTGGGGACCATGTCTTTAACATACGAGTCTTTGGAGGACATTCTAGCTCTCATGACAATTTACATTATTTTATTTTCATCATTTCTTTTTAAAGTAATGCAGTTAAGTCTTCTACCCTCACATTCAAAGGCTCGGTTTCTTGAAGTCCAACGTTAATCATATGCCCTTCCCACAGAGTCACCAAACAAATCCAGCCATTTTCTTTGTTGACTTTGGTGACTCATTCATGAAGCCAGCACTGCATAATTTAGTCTCTTAGAACATGTAAAATAAGTGCATATACACTTTCTGCCATCCAAGTAAGAACAAGGCCTGACTCTGCTTAGCTTCTAAGACCCGATGAGATCAGGCACATTTGGGTGGTAGAGCTGTAGACCAGCTACATGTTTTCTAAGCCTTAAGCTTCAAACTGAGGGATTTTATTCAGGAACCACTCAAAAATAAGTAGAAGAGGGAAAGCAATTTAAAATTCTTCATGTGGAGAAAGTACACAGCAGAAAAAAATGTACATCGGCACTTGCCAAACAATTGAGGCAAAATTTCAGAAGGCTCACCCATTAACCCCTCTATGGGGAAGCATCAGAAGAGGACCTCCTGAGACGCTCTGTGAGAGGAGTCTGCATCTGGAGTTCAGAGTTGACCCAAAGCTGTCCTCCTCCAGCTGCAACCAGCGCCACTGTGGTACCCGGAGCTGGGGTCCCTGCTATAAACCATCAAATGTGTGTGCAAGTAGTGAGGAACGAACAGTAGGATGTCATTTAAGAAGAGTTTGATGAAATGACTCCTAAAGCAATAAAGATGGGTAGAGCTCCCCGGGAACAGAAAGATTGGATGGCAACACTCCTCAGAAGCTACTTACTCAAGCTGATACGGGGCTTACTAAGTCAAGCCCTAGCCTTTCCCTTAGCATTTCATGTAGTGCAGCGCTGGTGGAAATAAAACCCTTCAACTTAACTTCTTCAGATGAAGGCATACTGATTTTGCCTGGAAAAATATGTCCGGCTGGATCAAAAAACTCAGACTGACTTTTTTTTTCTTTCACTATTTAAAAAACGCTATTCCATTATCTTCTGGTTTCAATAATCTTGGAGGAAAGTCAGCTATAAATCTTACAATGGCTTGAAGGAAATGTGCTGGTTTTTCTAACAGCTTTTAAGTTTCTCTTTGATTTTCAGTAACTTGGCTATAATAGATGTATTTGGTTTTTGTTTTGGGGTCTGTATATGTATGTGTGTGTGTGCATACAAATGCATACTTGTGTTTATCCTGCTGGACTGACTGAGCTTCTTGACTCACTGACATAAAGTTTTTCATCAGTATTGGAAAATTCCCAGCTATTTTTTTCTTCAAGTATTTCTATTGGGAGCGCGTGTGCGCATTCTCGCACGCTCGCTCTCTCTCTCTCTCTCTCCCCTTCTGGGGTTCCAGTTTTCATGGTTTGTCTTTGTCCCATTATATTTCTGCTCTATTTTATTCTTTTTCTGTTATGATTCAGTCTAGAATTTTCTATTGACTTGTTTCTGAGTTTTTCTTATGCCAACTTCTGATGGGTGCAGTTGATCTTTTTAACTCCTCTAAGTAATTCCCACCCTCAGATGTTGTACTGTGCAGTTCTAGAATACCCATGTGATCTTTTGTATAGCCAATTAGGTACTAAATTATCCTTTCATACCTTTATTTATCTGTTCTCTTTAACATATGTATTTGTTATTCTGAATTCCATTTACGACTTATTGGCTCCCAAGTAGTCACACGGCTCCAAATAACCTCAGGTGGTGAAGCCAGAATTAGACAGGCAGTCAGTAGAGATAGGTAAATCGAGTCAGGTCGGATCAAGGAGGCCAATTTTGAGTGAGTCTGGGAAGTTGGAGACTGTCCCCTGAGGGATTGAGAGGTTAATGCCTTCAGAGCCCTTCCTCCACCCTTATCAAGAACCTGCCCTTGCTCCTACCTGTTGCCAAGGTAACCTGTACCAGGAATAGCCCTTCCCTACAGGGAGCTATAAGGTAGTTAATGTGTCCTTGGCTGCTCCATCCTGCCCTTCCCCTTCAGCCCACCTGTTTCCCACCTTTGGGCCACCGAGCATTCCTGGGCCTAGTCACATAGGCAGGAAGGAGAAAGATAAGGGGGGAAAGGCAGGAGAACACAGGAAGCCTAGGAATATAAAAAGGGCAGAACACCTCGCTTCTGGGGATACCATGATGCCAGCTATGGTCCCCTTCTCCCTCACGGGAGAAATCTATATTACCCTTTTAAATAAACCCTGCTTTGTCTGCTGGCCTTGGCCTGCTTCTCTAATGCTCAAACTTCAGCATGTGGGGAAGCAGGGCTCGTCATCCATAACCAGCATGTATCAGTGGGCCAGGACACTCAATCCTACGTTGTCTGGGGAAGGTGTGAAGAGCTACTTGGAGAACAAAATAAATGATACATTTGGTTACGACATGTAATGAGTCAAAGCCTAGGTCTATTCACTTCTCTTCTGCTTCCAAATATCTGTGAACTTTTTTATTATATCAAAACCTCTGGGGCTGGGGTTGTGGCTCAGCGGCAGAGCGCTCGCCTAGCACGTGTAAGGTCCTGGGTTCCATCCTCAGCACCACATCAAAATAAATGAAGATATTGTGTCCAACTGGAAAATAAATATTAAAAAAAAACCCTCTACTTGAGGCTAATTTATCATTAATTGAAGTATTTTCCTGTGATTTTTTCTTGTAGTGCCGAGGATGAAAAACATAGCTTCGTGTATGCTAAACTGGCACTCCACCACTGAGCCACACCCCCTCCACTTTTCCACACAATTTTAAACTTCGAAAGCTTTTTTTTTTTTTCTTTTTTAATCTTTGGAAAACTAATACTGAATATACTCAATAATTAAGCTGTCATAGGAATTGACTAAAATAGTGTAAAACTTTAAATTGTGGTCTAATATATACATGGAAAAGCTTTAAAACATAAGTACATACTTTCATGAACACACCTGTGAATCCATTCCCTAGGTCAAGAAACAGAACACCACCTCTTCCCAGGGACAGGTCCCTCTCATGATGGCTTTCACTCATTTTTTTTTTAAGGGGCAGGTAATTGAGGATTGAACTCAGGAGCATGTGACCACTGAGCCACATCCCCAGCCCTATTTTGTATTTTATTTAGCGACAGGGTCTCACTGAATTGCTTAGCACCTCACTTTTGCTGAGGCTGGCTTTGAACTCACGATCCTCCTGCCTCAGCCTCCCAAGACACTGGGATTACAGGCGTGTGCCATTGGGCCTGGCTTCAGTCAATCTTTCTTTTGATCCATCAGAGATAACCACTGTCCTTACTTCCAATACCCTCTAGTAATTTTGCCTGTTTGGACTTAAAGTAAATAGAATCACACAGTAAAATCACTTTTGAGTCTAGTTTCTTTCACTTAACATTACGTTTGTGAGATTCATCCACACTGTAGTTTGTAACAGTAGTTGGTTTTTCTTTCTGCACAGTATTCCGTGAAGACATAATATATTTAACCGTTCTGACCTCATTGGACATTTGGTTTATTTATACATTAGGAGTATTTTTAACAATGATATGCACTGTTTTACATTCGTGTATAGTCTTTTGGTGCATATATTCATGCACCCCTTTTAAATTGTTTGGTCAAAGGTCTTATTTAACATTTGTAGATACTAAACAATTTTCCAGGGGTATAATCTGTAGTCTCACCAGCACCGCAGGAGAGCTCTCATTTTTCCACCTGTTCTTCAACTTTTAAAACCAGATAAAGGGCTGGAAGTGAAAATTTAGGGACTGAATTGAGGAGTAAAGTGAATAAAACAAATATAATCTTTATTTTATATAGAAGACACATAAATAATATTTTGTATATACAGTTAAAATAAATTTCATTTGTTTTTATTACCCTTATAACACAGCAACTAGAAATTTTTAAATTATTTGTGTGGCTTATACTATAGTCTATTGATAATGCTGCTCTACACCATAAATGCATAAATAAGATAGCTGAAAACCTGAAAATATACAATCTGTTAAAGTGTGGACATATTGGTTACAGAAATTAAACAGAATATTTGTTATGTAAGACAAGTTAACCCATTCAGTTCCATGTTTTCAATTCTTCCAATATTTTAATGAAATTGACATAGATGTACTAAAATAGGTTGAAAAATTATAATCTGGAGCTTATATATCTGACATGTATATATAGTTTGTATAATATATGTGTATATTTTCAAATGCTCTAATTATTTGCCTATTTTCTCAAAAGGCTAAAACATTTATTTCAAATAAATGGTTCATTTGTTGCTCAATTTTTTAAAGTAGGTGTCCCACATCTGGAATGATAGGACTTAACAGGTTAACTGCTCTATTCTTGCAGAGAATCCCCCAATTTAGATATTGCTACCTATCACCTGTTCACTAAATCAGAACTTGTTCTACAAGATGACTGAACTTCACCTTGTAGTGTGTCTTCTAAAAGAGCAAACCTTAAACCCGGGTTTAAAATAAGAGCCATACTCACACACAGATTCTTCCAGTAACAAAAGATTAGCCACATCCCCATAGCTAATGATTTAAATGATTTGCAACCCTTTTATAAAACCAGAAAATGAACCTCCACACACGGCCCAACACAACTGCCCACAGAGCAAGCATACTCATTCAAAGTCAAATACAATGGTAGAATCTGGTCTTCCTTTAAATTATGTATTGGTAACAGGTGGTGGTTGGGAGGGGCAAGACCACGATGCTGGTCATAGACCAGATAAATGAATGGATGAAGGATTAAGAACCTCCACTGTCAGTATTATCTGAAGCTAAGTACGTCAGAACAACATCTATTGGCCTTTGACCCAGAAAGGAGGGTAGAGCCAGAGGCACAGGAGATACTGAAGTGGGAGGGGTTCCTTCCCGGATACACCAGCAGAAACCCCAAAGCAAATCCTGCCCCAGGACAAGGCACTGGGCTCTGGCTCTCCAGTGGACCAATTACTGGCATTTTCCTGCAGGAGGACAAAACACGTTGTCATCCTCCCCCTGGTCAACAGCTGAGAAGGGGCTGAAAGGCCCTTACAAGGTCCTACCCAGCTGCCCAGGGAGGCCTGGGAAAACTTCCCCAGGTCCTGGAAAAGGCACAGCCAGTGGGGCGCTTCTGAGAGTGGCCACCCCGGCTGCAGGGTGTGGCCGCTAACACCCCACTACCTTTAGAAATCAAAGCGCTCCTCCCAACCCTGAACAAAGCTCTCCAAAACCCTAGACCACAGGCCACCTCCCGCGCTGTCGCTCAGCGCCCGACAGGTGTGCGAACCGGAGGGCCCGCCCCCGCGGCTGACTCACCCAGATCCAGGGCCTGGTCGCACCTGAGCAGAGCGGCCTCAGGCTGCTGCTGGCGCTGCAGGGTCCGCGCCTGGCTAGCCAGCTTGCGCAGCAGGCACTCGGAGGGGAAGCACTTCTCCAGCACGCAGCTCAGCACCACGTTGACGCGCCGCGCCTGCGGCCGCGCGGGCCCACACTCCACGCAGCGCTTGCAGACCGTGAGCCCGCACGGCAGGGTCACCGGCTTGTGCAGCAGCCTTCGGCAGCGCGGGCAGCCGAGCAGGTCGCGGGGCGCGATGGGCGTCGAGGACTGCTGTCCCTCGCCTTGCGCCTCGGTCGCGCGGCCCGGGGGAGACTGCCGCCACTCGCGCTGGCCCAGGGCGCGCGCTAGGCCACCCGCCAGCTCCCCCAGCTCCTCAGGCCGCATCGCCCCGAGCCTCGCGGCTCCGCGGAACGCGCCCAGGGCCTCGGGGAGGCGGCCGGCGCGGGCCAGCGCGTTGCCCAGCCGCAGGCACAGGCCGCGGTCCGGCTGCGCCAGGCCGGCCAGCATGGAGCGGAAGAGCTCGGCTGCCATCTCGTACTCTCCCGCGCGGAAGGCCTTGTCGCCCTTCTCTAACTGCTGGGCGAAGGGCTCCCCGCAGTCGCAGCGGGGACACTTGGGGGGCGGCGGCGGGGGCACCGGCTCGGGGCTCATAGCCGCGGGTCTTCGGTGACGCGAACCCAGAGGGAAGACTCGCAGCAGGAAGGATGCTCGGCTGCCCGGAGCAGGGCGGCAGGAGCGCGGCCGCCGTCTTCGCCACCAGCCAGTCGCGTCTGGGGGCGGCGCGCTAGGAGCCGAGGCGACCACGCGCGGGGGCGGGCGCAAGGCTGGGCCGAGGGGCCAGCGCGGCGTGGGCGGCCGGACCGCGCGGGGCCAGGACCCCTCAGGGTGGAGGCGGGACGGGCGCTGTGAGCGCGGCCGAAGCCTCTGCCTACGCGAGCGCCCCCCGCGTCCCACCGCCTTACGTAAGCCAGGTCACTGTGGGAACCTCGCTCCGCGTCAGCTGCTCCTCCCAAGCCTCTCGCTGCTCGCCCCGGGGCGGCCCCGCGCGTATGCGCGCGCCCCCACTTCCCGCCGTGGAGCCGCTGGGCGCGCGCCTGGCAGGTACGCGCCGGGGGCTTCCAGCTCGGGCGCAGAGCCCGCCAGCCTGCCTGTCCCCGAGGGAGGCCTGGCCGCCAGGCAACCTGTGGCTCTGCTCGAGAGAGGGCGGAAGAAGTGACCAGGACTGGGAACGCTTTGATTCAGGGAACTGTCTTCCTTACCTGGGGAGCCCAAGGGGGGCTCCCTGAACGCCACTCTGCAGAGACGTTCTAGAACTCGGATTTTAATGTAGGGTATGAGAAAATACCAAACTAGGTATGGGGAGGACAAGGGACTTGAGAAATACACAATCATATTGTGCCCTTGATTAGGAAGCAGAAACAGTATTTAAAAATGTCTCCTGCAACGGAGTCCCGCAGTCGGAATTGCAAGGAGGAAGGAGTGGAAGGCTGCGTTGATGTACAAACAACGATTAAATTAAAATCTTTCTGTGCTTATTAACCAGCCTTTAGAATGATCATGATATAGCCTGCACTTCTCTACCTATTGCGTCCCCCCCCCACATCCGTTTTATTCTATATTTTGGAATGCAGTAAAATACATCACCGTACTCAGAAACCGTAGCTGTTCATTATTTCAAGAAGAAATTTATTTTAAATTCGTGATGCTTTTTCTAAATATAAAACTGCTGGCTAAAGGAAATATAGATGACCCTGATCACATTTAGGGAGAGAGGAAATGCCTCAGTAAGCAAGGAGAGAACATTTTGGACTAATTTCTAAAAAGGAAAAAGAGCTTTGGCCAACCCTCTGTGGTCCTATAGTGAAGCAACAAAGTACAGAGCAAATGCTCTCCCTTTTCCATAAACGATTCTCTTCCTCCTGCTGTCTATTTAGTTTCACTGGTAAGTCGTAACCAAAGTAGATTTTTGGTCTGTTTCTCATTGGTGAATTATTCCAACTTCCTTTTTCAATCTCTCTGGCTTTTTTCCTGCAGTCTGTGTAACAATTCACTTGTATTTGAAAGTTGTTGACACAAATTTCACAACCAAACTACCAAGAAAGGGTGGTGCCTTCAGAGGAGTTAAACTTGCTGCAAAAAAAAGTATACCAAAGATGATTAAACCTATAATCTTAGAACCTATTTTTCTTATTTTAGACTTTTTTTTTTTTTTTTTTTAGAAAATAGAGATGGAAGCTTGCTGGAGTTATGGGTATTAAGAGTAAGAAGTTTTTGAAGCAAAAATATTAATGTGAGATTTATAACATTAGTGCAATGTGTTACAAAATAGCATAAAGACCAGAAGAGGAGAAATGCAAGAATATGGTCATGGTTCTAATACTGTGTGTGAAGAGGTATAATATCACCCTAAGGAAGATTGTGTGAAGCTAAAGATGTATACTCTAAACCCTAAAGCAACCACTGAGGAACACAAATCAGCTTCATCAAAGTCCCACCATGGGGATAAGATGAAATTATTCAAAAGAAAACAATCCAAAAGGAAGCAAGAGAGATAGATAATACTAATAGAAAACCAATAACAAAATGTGAGATTTAAATCCAATGTTATCAATTAATGCTAAAATAATAGTCTAAATGCCATAGTTAAAAGGCAAAATTTTTCAAATTACATTTAAGAAACATGGTGGCCACCAAAACAAAACAAAAAGAAAAGAAAAAGAAAAACATTTTAAATATGATGAACACATGAGTTAAATGTAAAAGGCAGCTGTGACCAAAATAAAGATGGAGTGATTACATTGATTTCTGATATTGTAGATTTCATAGCCCAGAATATTTATAGTGAGAAAATTGATTCAGAGAACATAATACTCCTAAATATGTGTGCACCTAATAACAGGGCTTCAAAATATTGAAGCAAAAACGGGTAGGACTGTAAGATAAAATAGATATGTTCACCCTGATGATTAGGGATTTCAGTGCCCCTCTCCCCACAACCAGTATAACAAGCAAAGGGGAAATTAAGGATATAGAAGATTCAAATAATGCTACCACTCAACCTGATTGACAGAGAGCACCTCACCCAACTGCATCAGAGTGTAGTTCTTTTCAAGTGTCCATGGAACATGTTCCAATACAGAACATATTTGAGCCATAAAACAAATCTCACTAAATTTAAAAGCATTTAGAGTCAAGCTATAGTAAGTATGCATCTTTCCCAGCTGGATTGAAAATAGGAATTAGTAATAAATTAATATACTATAGAAAATCCTCAAATATTTGGAAACTAACATATCTCAAAGTAGTCCCTGGAACACATTCTATTTCTGTATAATAGAAATAAGCATAAATTGAAATGAAAATTACATCATTACAATATATAATATGCAAAAAACCTTGAGAAAAACATGAATGTGTAAGACCTGAACACTTAAAACCTATAAAATAAAACTAAGAGAAATTGAAGAAGATAAACAAATGGAGAAAGATACTGTTCAAGGATCAGAAGACTCATTATTAGGATGTCAATTCTCAGTTGAGAATGTCAATTCTCAACTGTACCTCAATCAAAATCTCAGCATGCCTTTTCATATATAGGCAAAAGCTGATCCTAAAATTCGTGTGAAGATGACCAAAATACCTAAAACAACTTTGAGAAAAGAACAAAGAAGAGCCTTCATGTCTCATTAATTAAAGCTACAGTAATCATGGTAGTGTGGTTTCAATATCAATGAACAGGTAGAACTATGTGATAAGGATGTATTCCCAAAACAGATCCACACACAATTATGGGTTCCTGGTTTTCAGCAAACACTGTTCAGTGGGTAAAAGACAGTCTTTTCAACAAATGATGCCAGAATTATTGACTATCCATATGCAAAGAAGAAGAACAGGAAGATAAGAACAAGAATTACCCTTACTTTGACCTATACTCAGCAAAACAAAATTTAACTCAAAAAGGATGACTGACCTAAGTGTAAATCATTGCACTTATAGGCTAGGGAAATAGAAGAGAATTTTTGTTACCTTGGTTCTTAGATATGATGGCAAAGCAAGATATAAAAAAGGGGAATTAAAAAAAAAAAGCAAGGGAGCCCCTTACATTGGGAACCTGTCTGACACTCACAGTGGATCGTCAGTGTTTGTACAAAGTTGGCCTGATGTTCACTAGTTGGTAACTAGTTAATAACTAGTTAATATTATTCTTTTGGACATAAAGAACGTCACAGATCACCAACATCAAAGTCACTCTGAAAATGTGATAAAGTAAGATAAAAATGGGGTCACTGTGCAACCCTCAAAACATCAAACATCCCTCTTTCAGAAATGAGTGATTGCTATCTCCTTACCAATTATAGCTCCCTCGAAGCTCTAGTGTACATTCCTTATAAACAAGAACTGTGGAGACACCTAGTCACAGAATTTCACTTGCTTTCTGACAGCACCCAAAGTGAATTCCTAATTCCTTAAATATTTCCCAAAATTACCCAACGAAAGCCCAAATCCCCCAAAAGATGCCTTCTAACACCCTGTAAAAAACTCTCCATGATTTCTGTGGGAGCATTCTCCCTCACTGCAACAAGGCATTTGTGTGTGTGTGTGTGTGTGTGTCTGTCTGTCTGTCTGTCTGTCTCCTGAGAGCACTACGGCACTAAGGCATTGAAAAATTGATTAGTAAGGTAAGAACGTCTGCTGGCTGAAAGACATTGATAAGATGCTGTACACTTGGAAATTTTTTTTCAAATCATATATTTAATAAAAAATATGTAAAGAAATCTCAGAAGTCAATAATAAAAACACATAACTGAATTTAAAAGTGAGCAAAAGATTTGAACAGTCACTTCATTACAGTAGGCATATTTCGGCAACTAGACACATGAAACGATGTTCAACATCATTAGTCTTTAGGGAAATGCAAATCAAAAGCAAAAATGCTACCACTACACACTTATTCGAGTGTCTGCAATTAAAAAGGCTGACCATATTAAGCTCTAGGCTGGAGAACCTAGAACTCTCCCATATGGCTGGTGGAATGTACAAGGTGCATAACTTGGCAGTTTCTTAAAACATAAGGTGTGTACTTACCATATTACTCAGCCATTCCACTTCTAGGTGTTTATCCAAGAGAAATAAGAGCTTATGGTCATCCAAAGACTTTCCTATGAATGTTCATAGCATCTTTATTTGTTATAGCCCCCAACTGAAGCTAATTCATATGGCTATTAACAGGAGAATGGATGGGTAAATTGTGATATATGTACATAATGGACTCCTACTCAGCAATAAAAGGGAATGGGCTATTGGTCCATGACTCAACGTGGAGGAAATGCAGAGTAATTATGTTCAGGAAAAGAACCCAGACAAGGAAGAGGACATGCATGTAAATTATTCTGCTTATTACAAATGATAGCAAAAAACCATGGTCACGTTGAATGGGAGCATGAGAAAACTTATGGGCGATGCCCACAATTGTCCTCTGGATGGTGGTGATGGTCTCCTGATGAGTCGCATTTCTCACGGTGCCCTCTGAGTTCATGCATTTGTCCTGTTTCAATTACGCCTCAGGGGGGCTGTTTTAAAGCCATACAGATTTGAAAAGAGATGCTTGAAAATCAATTTTTTTAAATATGTAAGATGCATCTGAAACCATAATTTTCAGGAAATTATAGCCTTACATTCGTAAATTAGAGAAGGCTACAAACTGAATGTGCTAAACATCCAACTCAAAAAGTGGAAGGAAGAAGTAACAGAGTAAACCCCGAAAGCAGTAAGAAGACAAAGAGAAGCAACCAGTGATTTGT